AGTGTGTAGCAACGGCTCGATCGAGAGATAACCGTCTGCGACGGTATCTGCGTGGCGCGGCGATCGAGAGATCACACGGGAGATCGGGGAGCTCGATCGGTGAACTCGATTGGCTCCGGAACAAGGAACAAAGAGGCCCCGACCGAAGTTTAATCGGCATTTTTACATCTACCATGAGAAAACACTCGTGGAACAGCATGTGTACACACTCGTAGTCGATCGCAATCGACGCGCCGAACGAATTCGACCAAATTAAGCGTATTTTTCACGGACTCGCGGACGCCAATCGAGACCTCGTTCGAAACACAATCGCGTAATCTTGATCGAGCCGACGTGGACGGTGGCGATGCGCATTTAGTATACATAGTTCGCTTCGCGGCGTTAGATCGAGATGATGATTTTTAACGGGACCGTCTGTCCAGTTAGCTGTACCGTTCCCAGCGTGTCCGAGCCGTGACGATCGCTCGATCCGCTCGATCCGCTAGATCCCTCGAACCCACTTCGATATACATATCTTCGAGACCTTTGACTACGGTATTTCAACTTCCGATAGCCTATCTTCCAATTATAAGCATCTGTTATGCGAAAAGGGGCTGCCTTGGAACCGCATCGATTTCCTTCCGATCATTGTTTATTCAACGGTCTAATCAATCTCTCATAAAACGCAACAGAAATATCACGAAATCTCGCCGATCCGTTCTTTAACCATTTACTCTGGTCATTCGCGCCGGATGTTATTCCCGGCCCGACTCAATATCGCGTCCCATAATCCATCTTGATCTCCGAACGACGTCGCCCGGTGATCTAGGAAGCCGGAATGACCCTCGAGCAAGGCTGGGATCGTCTTAAATCACTCGACGAGATAGAACCTTCCTATTCTATGTTCGACCGTGCCCGTGTCAAAGGTCGAGGACCGACTATTTCGGATCTGGATCGTCAAAAGATTTACGCGGGACCGCGGACAGTTAGTTTATCGATCCGTCGGGGAAGAAGCCGAACACAATCTGCTTAATTAGCTCGTGATTACGTCGTTCATAAATAGCCGAGCGAACTTTCAAAACACCGATAACGTCGCGTGCGAGCCGCGGGTAAGGGAACATGTATACGCGAAGGACTCGAATTTACAGGTCTGCAGTTCGGTTCGGCTCTCTTGTTTTTCTCGCGTGTTTGTTGTTATGCTCCGCGTGGCACTGGTTCAAGCGAAATTCATAGTTCTACCCGTGACTACTGCCAGTCAGCCGAATTTAAATCTATCCGCGAAACGGGCTGCACGGGCTGCGACCGAGCTGTAGCTTCAGAATGAACGCGCCGGGTGGATCCGTCTCGCGCTTCGCGCCGCTCTATTTTTATCTGAACTTTTATGAAAGAGCACGCGAGAACGGTTCAAATCCGCCGTCGCGAACGATCGAACTCTTTCCTCGCCATCGAGGGGTGGGAGATAGGGGGGAGGGGGCCAATCGCGCTATTAAACAAACATGCCGAGTTTCCCTACGCTATTTTCGAAAACGGGAAAGTCCGTTCTGCACTCTGCGTGCCAGAACTTACTTTGCGTCGATTTGCATTAGCAAGCATCGAACAATTTAACGCTACTTTTACCAAAAGGGTCGTAGGACACCTTTGAAAATTTTAATTTATAGTTATGCATTGATAGGTTATTCATTACATTGTCTTGATCGACTTTTCTTGTAATGATTACAAAGTGAATTTGTTAAAAATATAGGTATACACGAAAGATCGGTAGAAACAGCGTCGAAGAAACAGATAGTGGCATTGAACTACGGTATTAGTCTTCGCTGGTGGTCTTTATTTTTGTGTACACTTTTCACTTGTCATGTTTCAATAACGCTCGGCGCTAAAAAAACGGCTAATTTACAAACTAAATAGATTAATTTTGATTTCGAAGTACATACAGTAGAATCTCGATTATTCAAAATAATCAGAGGGTCGTAGATGTTCTGCTAGTTAAGAAATTAAGTACACAGTCACAGAATGCTAAATTTGGTTTTTATCAATTTGCACAATACACAATGTTGTCCACAGTTTGCCTTAAACCGAACTGTTTATGTGAGAAATGTGTTCGTTTAATAGACCATTCTGACACAGATGTTCGCGTAATCACGGTTCTACTGTACACCTGAACAAATGCATGTATCCAATTGTTTACGAAGCGTCATCGCAGTCTCGATAATCGTAAATTACAGAATCTGAAGTCCTGGTAGTTCTGAAGTTAATAACATGTTGTTGTCCGATCTCTCTCTCTCTCTCTCTCTTTTTATCTCTCTCTCTCTCTCTCTCTCTCTCTTCTCCTCTCTCTCCAAAACTCTTCCACGCAATAATTCATCGAAACGTTTACAGTATTTCCATGTAATTTGACTCGGCCAGCTGTTTACGGCAGAATCGAAACTATTATGCAATGCCTGCAAAACTTCAGGATTCATTGAAAGGTTTTTGCGAAGTTTTTGCTGCTCCGGTTTGATCTGCGTTCGGATGTATTTAACAACCCGCGGTCGGTTAGTTCACGCGATCGTATTTCACTCTGTATCCCCTACTCCTCCTCCGCGACAGATTGTTAATGCCTTTTGCATAAGAAATTCTGCATTTTGTCGTTGAAACATCCGCGGAGAGGCAGAAGTTCAAGACGAAGCTATTATAAGCTGCCACCGGAGACACTGTACTTTTCGTAGGCGACTGGCATGATTCTGCGAAACATAACGGATGGATCGAGCCGAAGTTTTGCAATTACACCAGGTGAGTATTAATTTTTGGTGCCGGGTAACTAGATGGTTCGGAACTGTTTACTGCAACTCGGCGTGCACAAACGCGGAATTTTTCCATTGTTTATGTTAACACGCCAGGCACGTTTTGTTCTTCTTTTTTATTCAACCCCGGTCTTGCTGGTTTACCATTTCGCGCTGGTCAAGCGTAATGCGAATGTTACGTTCGCCGTGGTTTTATCCGCGAACAAATCGTTTCTTCCGAAAGAGATAACCGATCGAATTTCAACACGGTTGAGAAAGAAAGAGTTTTGAATAAACAGGACTCCGCGAGCAAAAAGATCGATAGTCGTCGGGCTAAATATTCGCGAGAGATTCTCTTTTTTTCTTTTTCGAGTGGTGTGTACGCGACAGACATTTTTTTGCGGGTCAATGACAAAGTCCTCGAGAGGCACTCGATGTTTCAATTATTTGAAACGGCGCGCGTCACGTCCCCGATTAAACTATCCCGCGTGATTACGCGATCGCGGAGAGCAAAGTATAATTGCCGGTTTTTCGGACGAGTCACGATTACACCTTATTACACGTCTGCGACAAGTCTACCTCGGGATTCATTCAGCGAATTCGTTCGTCATTTCCGCGAACACCATCGAGCCCAGTCTTCCCCGTAGTTCGCCGCGCGTTCTAACTTTTCATTAGGCGCGCAAATAATCTTTATTACTCCGACATTACGGATGTCGTACGACCATTAAAGTAGTCAGTGTTCCGAGCGTTTTAATTTACATTGAATAAAGGGCATTCACGAAAAAAAAATGTTAAATATTAGAGTATGTCGGGCAGCAAAGATCACCGGTTCGGCTATATTTTCTCGCAACCTGTCACCGATCGCTGTCCATTCAATTGTTAGCTTATTTCTTGCATATCAATCGGCGTACCAAATCGTCGCGCAGTCGCGGGACGAAGCCGCGGTTACGTTGTTGCATAAAATTATGTCTCGGTAAGGCACGGAACTCTCGAAGCTTTGCTCGACGTCGCCGTTTAATATTTGAAACGAGGACGCGGCCGCCGGCGACCATTTTATCGCGGCAATTAAAAAGTTACAGCCTTTTGTAGTCCCATGGCAAAGAAGCTGTCGGGTTAACGCATTGAACGGCCAAATGGAAACAAAAGACCGATCTCAAATCCGAGACACGTCGTTCACGAGGGTCCTCCTCCGGCTCCTCGCCGTTTAATTACCGTGCTGGAAAGCGAGTCGGCATCGTGCGTAGAATGGAACGTCTTATCAAACCGACCACAATCCCGCAGAAATCTTAGGAGTAGCTTCGAGAGCGCGGAAGAGAGAGAGAGAGAGGAAACGCGCGAACGTAAAACGAAAATAACCGAGGCTGCGTGCGCCGTCACGTGAAAGCACGCCGACGATCCATCGATCCCGCGATTGACAGCGCGAAAACGTCCCGGATCGAGCAAACGTTTAAATCACACGGCCGTTTAATTCACAATCAAATCCTATGGGCGATCGGAGCTCGCGAGAATCGGAGCTTCGCGTGTCACGCTGGTCTCTCTCTCTCTCTCTCTCTCTCTCTGTCTCTCGAAAATCGCGTAATCCCGATTTGACAGGCGATCTCGATCGGGGAAAGCGCGGATCGCGCGTTCCGTTAGATTCGAATCGACGGCTCCACCATGCCACTACACTTTGACACATTCTAGAGCAGTCCGGTTCAATCACTCCTACAACTGTGCCACGTGGGTAATTTCGCGCTACTTACGGCTTTAATAATTCAACGCGGTACGATCTATAAACACGCCGGCAAATAGGTTCTCTCGAAACTCACAGGGTCACCTTCGATTTTATAAACAGCGGCGTACGACTTTTTCCACCTGCTTGCCAACGATCTATGAAATCGGTAGAAACCAAACACATACATCATTCTCCGCAGCGATCGCCGCAACGAAAATCCTCAAGTTACGCGACACTCGGATCTGTTCGACGTTTAAGCGATTTAAAACCGGCGAAACAGATTCTCCGACCCTCGGGATCTCGATCGTCGCCAGATTTTTCCGGCGATACCTAATTTCCGATCGATAACGATTTCTTTCTTTCTCTCTCTCTCTCTTTCGAGAGATCGCGAGACCTGTCACGCTGGACTATCGATTTAGAAACGTCAGTGTGCCCGACCTTCGCGTGCAAACGAGATCCATCGATCGGTGGTTTCGGAGCAATGCAATGAAAACGATCGGGAAGGAGACGAAAGAGGATGTGTGAGAATGATCGTGTGCTGTCTCTACCTGGTAGTGGAGCTGCGAGGAACGCCTGGTTGCTGGTGACGAGCAACGACACCAACACGAAGAGGGACCACGCGAGGACGATCATCCTGGATCGTATCGATCAACGAGAATCAGTGGGACGGACTGAATCAGCTTGGGTAGCTTCTGGGCCGGTTTCCAGCAGGATCACGATCCGCTCCGGAGTCCAGCTCGATCTCTGGATCGCTACCGATGGATCCTGGCTTGTCCTGGGTCGCGAGCAGCACGTGCGTAACTTTGGGTGTCGGTCGCAACTGAACAACTCCAGGTAAACCGAACTCGGGTACACTCGCGAACACGTTTCTCTCGATGGATCGAGAGAGGGGGTCGTTGGGGGGCCGCCAGGCTCAGGACTCGGCTTCGCCGACTTCTCCGACCAGTTAGCCAGCAGTGAACTGCTCGTGTTCCTGCCTTGGGCATCGTAATATACATAAAGTCGCCAGATAAGCCGCGGCTGACACCCCACCATCGAGCCGCCCGTCGCGGGACGATTCTCTCTCCCTGCTAGTTCTCCGTCTCTCTCTCTCTCTCTCTCTCTCTCTCTCTTTTGCTTCTATCTCTCTCTCTCTCTCTCTCTCTCTCATTCCCGTTCTCTGGTTTCTCACTCGCGCTCTTGCAACGCCGAGAGAGCGAGGAGCACTCTCGTCTGCGACTCGAGGCCGTCGCGACGCGCAACGACGACCCGCGCCAATCCGCTTCGCGTCGCGTCGCCTCTGTGCACGGTGCATGCTGCACGTGCATCCCGCTGCGGGACAAATTGCCGATCCGTGCACGATCCCCAACGGATCGACCGATCGCGAACGATCCCCGGAAAAGAGCCGGCAACTCGATTCCAGCCAGATTTTTCGTGGCAAACGGTTTCGCTGATTAAACCGTTCATAAAGGAAGACGCGCGCGTTGACTAAGTTTTCGTGATTGATTCGGAAACGTAGGGATTCGACAGCGCCGAAAGGTCGCAACGTAGATTCTGTTTCCAATTAGAAATTATAAAGTTATTTCGCAACAGGCGGGATTCAACGTTTCAATGGGGCAACCGGTTCCCTGTGCGAGAGGTAAAACAACAGGTTCGCAATTATTTTCAGTATTCTTTGTCACGTTTAACCGGCGCGCGCCCCGTTCGGGTCGCCTGCAGCTTTTTCTCTCGATTATATTGTTCGCAATAAAGATTTGTTCGCATTACCGATAAGATTTATGCGATACCGCTTCTTGCTTCGTCGAGTGTTTGAAAAAAAAGAAGCCGCGTATCGATATAATCACGTGTTGCGACGCCCGATTATTCTGTCACTGCATGAATTAACATCGATCCCGCGGAACGGGTGCATGAATTTACACTTTTTCTTGTTTTGATTGTAATATTTCACGGAATTAAAATGTCCTGCTCGATCGTCTCCTCACGACGGAGACGCCGCCGATATCGAGAATTTTCGAATAAAAGATTATGCGAAAACCCGGTNCGCCAGGCTCAGGACTCGGCTTCGCCGACTTCTCCGACCAGTTAGCCAGCAGTGAACTGCTCGTGTTCCTGCCTTGGGCATCGTAATATACATAAAGTCGCCAGATAAGCCGCGGCTGACACCCCACCATCGAGCCGCCCGTCGCGGGACGATTCTCTCTCCCTGCTAGTTCTCCGTCTCTCTCTCTCTCTCTCTCTCTCTCTCTCTTTTGCTTCTATCTCTCTCTCTCTCTCTCTCTCTCTCATTCCCGTTCTCTGGTTTCTCACTCGCGCTCTTGCAACGCCGAGAGAGCGAGGAGCACTCTCGTCTGCGACTCGAGGCCGTCGCGACGCGCAACGACGACCCGCGCCAATCCGCTTCGCGTCGCGTCGCCTCTGTGCACGGTGCATGCTGCACGTGCATCCCGCTGCGGGACAAATTGCCGATCCGTGCACGATCCCCAACGGATCGACCGATCGCGAACGATCCCCGGAAAAGAGCCGGCAACTCGATTCCAGCCAGATTTTTCGTGGCAAACGGTTTCGCTGATTAAACCGTTCATAAAGGAAGACGCGCGCGTTGACTAAGTTTTCGTGATTGATTCGGAAACGTAGGGATTCGACAGCGCCGAAAGGTCGCAACGTAGATTCTGTTTCCAATTAGAAATTATAAAGTTATTTCGCAACAGGCGGGATTCAACGTTTCAATGGGGCAACCGGTTCCCTGTGCGAGAGGTAAAACAACAGGTTCGCAATTATTTTCAGTATTCTTTGTCACGTTTAACCGGCGCGCGCCCCGTTCGGGTCGCCTGCAGCTTTTTCTCTCGATTATATTGTTCGCAATAAAGATTTGTTCGCATTACCGATAAGATTTATGCGATACCGCTTCTTGCTTCGTCGAGTGTTTGAAAAAAAAGAAGCCGCGTATCGATATAATCACGTGTTGCGACGCCCGATTATTCTGTCACTGCATGAATTAACATCGATCCCGCGGAACGGGTGCATGAATTTACACTTTTTCTTGTTTTGATTGTAATATTTCACGGAATTAAAATGTCCTGCTCGATCGTCTCCTCACGACGGAGACGCCGCCGATATCGAGAATTTTCGAATAAAAGATTATGCGAAAACCCGGTTTCTTCCCCCCCCCCCCCCGCGCGATGTTGATCGAAAGTTTCTATATTCTGCGAAAAAATAATATGCTACCTCCGAGGTAAGAGTCCTCGAAAATTGTGCCTCGGCAGCGGATAATTTCTCGATCGAAACGGCGCGGCGCGCGGACTTTCCTCTGAAACCGCAATAAAAAGAGAAACAGCTTTCACAGAAGCCTAATACGGGACCGCGCAAGCAAAAAACGTGAGAAGTTCTGTCACGAGAATCTCCTTTTCGGCGCAAATTAAGTTTGAGGGTCGCTCGAGCCAGTGCTCGACCATACCCCGACCAACTTCTCGACCCTCTGTGATTCATTATTTCGTCCTCGCGATATGCTCGTGTTGATAAACATTTCCACGTTGACAATTTGCATTCCAGCAGGGTTTCGGTGTCTTATTTCATTCTCGCTGATATCGCAGCACCCTCGACCGCCGCCGGGATCATTAACGACGGCCAGAGGAATAAAGATCCGATTTATCAAACGTGGTCCAGTTTTATGGCCTCCGTTAGGCTCGACCGAGCCGGCCGAGCAATTAAACCCTTGATATTTCGCAATTTCATCGATCGAACGTGACAGGATTACGATCATCTGATCCAGGATCCGGCCAGACGATCGCTTAAATATTTTCATGGATCCGCTTGATACCTGCTAGGTATTATCCTATCACGCGTTGATCGATTCTGGATCTCGAGCATAAATCGTGTGCGGTCCGTTTAATTCCGCGCCGCGAAAATAAAACAGGATAATAGCGATTATCGGTAATCGTCCGAACTTTACTTGCTCTTTTGTTGTTCGTTCTTTTCATTGATCACCGATTTCCCTTAACAAACCCGATCATTTCGATAACCTGCATTCAATACACGCGCAGGTCTTATTTCTCCCGTTTTCCGCTTCGCGGTTCATACACGGTTGAACCCTTTTTTCATCGTAGATCTCAACGTTAAAGCAAACACCGCGCAAAGAAGAAAAACTTTGGCCGTTCGCGACGGTGAGATAATTGCCAGAGGCGCGCCTGATACGTGTAGCATGACTCGTTTCACAATTCACCGGCGTCTTTTCACGTGGAAACGAGATTCAGGAATCGTGACGCGGCGTTGACACGTAAACGCGAGCACGCGAAATGCTCTCGAAGAATCGCGCAAGATTACCGGTGACACGGAGCGTACGCGTCACACGGTTAATCCGGGCTTAATCGGCTAATTACGACGGGCGCCATTGATTGCTTATCCGCGCGAGAGGAAGTGTCCTCCCGGGTCGGCCAGACAACTTCTATATATATAATAATATTTCGCGGTGCACTGACTCATCTAGCATAGGCGTATCGCCGCGTGCGGTGTTGGTAACGGCAGAATACATCACACAAAATGTGAGATGCTCGTTAGTCTCGTTCCAGGTAGCTCGTTATCGCCGGTAGCACTGTGTCAAGTGTCACATAAGTTAGCCCCAACACGTGACACCCGTGTAACGCCTAGTAAAGGAAGAATTATGAAAGAAGCGCGTCATTCAGCCGTGGAAGAGCGATCCGGATCGCGGCGCGAGAAGATCGCTACGCGTCATTGGACGCCGGAGGACCATCAACCATCCCTCCAAAAAAATATCAAACAGCCCGGATTCCTCTGTTCGACACGTTCCTCGCCACGTTGATCTCGCCGATCTTCGACAATTAATTTCTCAAAGAGTCGACGGAGCCGATGAATATTACCGGAGAGGGTCAACGAGGGACGTTCTCTTTTGTTGAAAAAACGCCGGCTTGATCGCGCAGCAAATTACGCGACTGACTTTTGATTCTGCCGATCATGATGTTGCATCGCGCAACCTCGCAGCATCGATTCGCGAACGAGCTTCTCGGTCGTTCGTATTGAATTTCATATCGCGGCCGAGTTATTAAACGTCCGGCACGTTTGACGCATCCCTCTTCCCCCGGTTTCGATATTTTTCGAAACAACGGGCCAAACACACCGCCGCCGATGAGAGAAGAAGGAAACGCAGACATTTTGTTGTTGGGTCGCCCAACGCGTTGCAACGAGCCGGGGCTTCATTAATCCGTTGCTCAGCCGTCTATCGGAAATTCAACACCAGCCTCCGGCGAACAAGAGACGCGTGTTTTGCTAAACAAGTGAAACCTCTTTGTTCCCGTTCCGCGAACGAGAGTCGACGAAATTCCCCTTTTTAAAACTGTCAATAACGGACTGCCGGACCTTTTGTCTTTCGACGTTCATCGATCGGAGTTCGCGCGGCTCACAACAGAAACTCGGAATCGAGGGCGAGACCGGGCCCCCCTTTCGACTTCGGCTAATTCTCTCCTTCGGCGGACCTACTCGCTGTTTTAGCCCCTGCGACTTTATTCTATTTTGCGCCGTTCCGCTCGCCCGGAGAGAAAGCAACTTCGTCGCCGATGCGCTTTTACTCGACCCGAGTTTTACGCTCGACAATGCTCAAACTGATTTATAAGCCCGCGAATGGCCGTGCCGCGTCGAAGAGAAGTTTCCGATCGAAGTTGCCGTTTGTTGCTGTTCAACGAATTTAGAAAACTGTGCGCCCTCTCCACCCCCGTTCCCGGTATACACGGAAGAATCGGCGAGCAATTTTCTCGCACGAAGTTCCGCGAAAAGCGCAGTTTTTCCGCGTCCGCGACGCATCGGCCGTCCGCCATCTTGGATGCGCAAGGATGTTTTCGAGTCCCAAGCGGAACGCATCCGAGAAATATTCTATTTAAGAGGATGATCGTTTGCGAAAGATCGATGCGGCGGTTTTAATTGAACGGCGCGGCGATCATGATCGATTCATGAATCGTTTAGGACACGCAGGGTGAATGCGGTGGATCGAGTAACAGCATGGGTGCCGCGGCTGCACGCGCTCCCGCGCGCCGAACGAGATACGCAATCGGCTCGCGGATAGACTGCTAAATGTTTACCGCGCTTTTAAGACGCACCTTGTAAGCAAATATGCACCGAAGGCCGCACCAACGGAGACGCGTTGAGTCTATTTTTAATTCGCGTGCGCGCTGCCATTGTGCGTGCGCGCGAAACGTGATAATAACATTAAAGAGGAGTAATGGCGGCTTCGATCCATTACCCCCCTCGAACTTTCGACGAATGGAACGACCTATAAGAACTTTCTTCCGCGAACTTTCTCTCCTCGTCCTCCCCCGATCCGTTCGGCTTCTCCTTCTTTCTCATTGTTCCCGGCCCCCCTGCTGTTTGAACGTTCTACTGTACAAACAGCGTCCTCCTTCTTTCTTCTCGCGAGAGCAACGATTCTTACGCTGGTAATTCCAGGAAATTGTTCAACACCTAATGAACCCTTTTTTTCGAATAATTTAAACAGTCCGCTGCAGATCGCGACGGCTGGAGTCCCGAGCGAAGAGAACCAAGTCTGAAGCGTCGTGCAATTACTCTCGGCTTCTGATTAACGGGAATCCGTTAGGCATGCCACCGGGGACCGCTAAGGAGACTATAATAAACGAAGCTGCGAACGGTCCGTGCAGATCAAGCATTCGCGGGAAAGGTCAACGGAAGGGGTTAATTCGACCGTGCAGAGCGAGCATGTTCATCGTCGACTATTTTTCAGGGACGATCGAATACGCTTCTGCAATTTCTATGGAAACACGCGTTTAATCGGTGGCACCGGGATGGCAGGTGCACCGGTTATTGTTGATAGCCCGGTGAAAACGGGAACGGTCCGAGCGCCGCGCCGCAAACAACTGATTTAGACGGCGTACGTGAGCATTGTGCGCGATGAAAACGTGCCGGCTCGGAATTTGCATGATAAAACGTCCTGAAGCGGGATTGAAGTGCACGGTCCAACGAGCATAAGTCACCGTGACAAGGAAGACCGGTGTCGGACCTCGAGAGGGACGTGTCTTCCTGTAAAGTTGCTCTGCTCCTCGACAAGATCGTACCGTGAAAAGATCTCCGGACCCGTTGACCCTAACTGTTCGATCCATCGGATCTCCGTCAGGATGAATTGTGCACAGTTAGCGCCGGCTTAAGGCTTCCTGTTCTGCACCGCAGAACGGAAACATCGTTACGGAAAGTTAATGAACAGACTGTTATGCGTTCGCGAGATAAGCAAAGAACCCGCCGTGATAAAAATCCTCGCGAGGTCTGATTAGTTTCCTACTATCTTCGAGATCGTATAACCGTTCCCAATTAAATTATATAATTTCTCGTTCGCGTTTGGATGATCGAAGACCATGAAAGGTTTCACGATCTTCCGTTTCCGCGCGCGTCGCGGAATCCGTTCGCGGGGATTTATCGGCTGAATCTGCGGCACGGTTGAATTGGATGGCCTGCGATGGAACCAGTTCAGGACGTCTAAGAACGTCTAATGACGACTCTTGAATGGACATTGATGTCGAGGCACCTACGGCCGCGCAGATATCTCAGCGATTCCATGGCGCAGGATGCTTCTTGCAAGGTAACCAATGCCGGCGCGCGTGTTCAGGAATCAGCGATCATCGTGAACCGTAAACTTGCTCGTTTCTATCCAAAGCAATTATCTTTCAGATTTTCTTTCGTTTACCGCGACGTCGAGCTGCTAGCGAAGAAACGCCGAGTGTTTCGAATGCTGGACAGGTCTCTTGAATCCAGAGCTCGGAAAGCCTTGAGATCATTGGAACTCCTGTGCGCGAAGAAAGTCACGAAAGCGTCCGTAGCCTTGGAGATCTTGGAAATCCTGCGAGTCCCGCGATCTCGATCACCGAGGCCTCGGGGATCCAGAAATTCTAGAAATTCGCGGGATGCGAGACATCGCGGCTAATTGGAAAAGTGTACGCGGCGACGTCGATTTCTCGGACAAAGCTAATTATAAAGCGACGATTGCGTGGAACAGAACTTCGAAAAGCGGCGTGACGAAGGCTCGTCGCCACGGTAAAGCCGTGTCTAACGCCACGTAATCGAACACTGCGAAGCACCGATTGCACACCTGAGCGCGAGCGAACCTATCGCCGTCGCGAGCCTGCCGGTTTTCTAGGAAATGTCAAATTGTTACGGCGAACGCGACGACCACCGTGGCGAGAGAGCCTTTGAGTCACCGCGAGTCGCAAGAACGAGAATGAAAAGCGAAATAAATAGAATACTGACGAAAATCGGCTGATGAAATCGGCAATAATCTTCGCTTCGCGCGTAGGTGCGACGCGAGGCTGCTGCTCGTTAAGCTACGATCGTAAACAGGCCCATTACAATCCGCCAATTAAAAGACTGCGACAGAGAAGACCGTGGTAGGTACATATGTATGTATATCCAAGCATTAAGAATCTATGATTGCGATGGATATTTTATGATACGGCTTCCTCGAAAACCACTTCTGCATAAATGGAATGATACTGAAACTAAACACGTATGTATGTATTTACAATTTCTGTAATCCGTAACCGCCAGCTTCAAGGAAGCCTCCGTAAACCGGAGGTAACAAATTTGTGATAAAAGTTTTGTTAGCCCGACGACAGGGCCAGAAGCCATTCGTACGCGCATAGTTCCCGTTTCTCCGTTGGTTTCTATAACGATTTTTCCGAGGAATCGCACAGACACCGGAGACACGGAGTTTCACCTGCGCGATTTGTCCAACGACGTTTGTTCCACGAAGTTTCATAACATGTCGAGGGGATGGTTGTTTGAAACTTTGAACTACGAAGCTGTTCGTGTCGCGACGGATGGAAAACCTCGGATATATCTGGCCCACTATACAGGCTGTCCCAAAATTATGGTACCTCCGGGAAATGGGGGATTCCTGAGGTCATTTGAAGTAACTTTTTCCTTAGCGAAAATGCAATGCGCGGTTTTGTTTACGAGTTATTAACGAAAAACAGCGACCAATGAGAGGCGAGATCAGCTGGCACGAGCCGGCCGAGCCAATGAGCGGAAGTGGGCTTCGTTCGCTCCAAGCGAGCTGGTCTCTCATTGGTCAGTGTTTTTCGTTAATAACTCGTAAACAAAGCCGCGGATTGCATTTTTGTAAAGGAAAAAATTACTTCAAATAACCTCAGGAATCCCTCATTTCCTGGGAATGTTATAATTTTGGGACGCCCTGTATTTTCCTCGGACTGTTTTACCCACAAGACGGCTAAATCCGAACGTCACTGTACGAAAATTAGCTGTATTACCATAATCTATGCTTGCGCTTTAAATGTTTCATGCTATTAAGCATTTCGCTGGCTGTCCGTCTTTTCATTCCTCTTGCGACAGCTCGAATCGTCTCGCGCGGTCTCTCTTGCTCGTCGATCGTCTGATTTTCAATAGAAACCACTGGAAATATCTTTTATCTTGCTGCATAATTGCCGGAATTACTATATCGATCCGTTATCTTGCCGGTTTGACACGCCTTTCTTTACATTCGGCGATATCCAAAGCGTTTATGGAACGGCTAATGGTCGATCTTGCGGAATCGACGATTTGGAACGAGCTGCGAGGTCTTCTGGTTCGATCTGGATCGATGAATTCTCTGCCAGCATTCGCAATTACGTTGCCCGCAATAAGAGAATACGCTTCTGTACTTATTAGAAAGAAACAAAAACTGTTTACAAAATTTGCTTGGAAAATTTGCGAATCGCAGAAGACCAGCAACGATCACGGTGATACTAATTGTCGGCACTTCTGTTACGTGTGACCTGAATGCTCGTGTCGTATACCACGTACTCCATCATCTTAATAATGACGCAGGAACACAGGTCCTAAAAATACCAAACCGCTCAAAATAAATCCAGCGATCTATCAAAAATTGACACGTACGCTCTCACAGTCGGCCAATTTATCATTCGTCGGCTCTATAAAAATTGCTTACCTCGGATAGATAACGATTTCTTCGCAATCGAAAATAAGCACGCCCCCACCATGTTTTCGATACTTTGATCCGGGGATTAATAAAATACGATTTTTTTTTTGTTCGACGATAGAGATCGCAGATCGGAAATCGGATCCCTCTCCCGCCTTTATTTCGCTTTTATCGGAGCACGTTACCGAAACGATTTCGATTATTACAACGGCAAGGAAAAACCGAGGGTATAATCTCTTTTGTTAAAGGTGACTCAAGTGTTCCGGGAATTATTTATTATAATTTTTCTCGAGAACGAGGTAGATTAATCACAGATGACGGCGGTCGTGTGACGTCGCGACGTGTTGTTCACTGGAGAGCTCCCGACAAAATGGCACCGGCAAATTGTTCCGCAAACAATTTCGCGTGGTTCGTGTGACCCACCGAGGAACGTATTCAAATCCTAATGGAATTTAACGATGCCTTCGTCAAAGTTATTCAAATTGAATTCGTGCGAAACGCAGCGATCAGCAAAACGAATAAATTTTAATCGCCAAGTTCTTCGGCTCGTTATTTCGTGAATTATCTACTCTACGCTTGAATTACATTACAAATTACATTACAAAGCGCGAAGCGCGGTTTATCATCGAATCGAAGAACCTCGGAACCTGTTATCATTATTGTACGTTTCTTTTTCTGTATTAATAGCTACTTCGCCATAGATCGTCGCGATGGAACGATTGTATCGAAAAAAATCCGCTTCTTCATAGCACCGTAATACACTCGCAGATAGCATAAAAAAAAAACAGAAACCGATGCACTCGTGACAACGGAGATGCACGATAGCATCAAAATTGCCGTGCGTCCAACGCGACACGAGAATCGCGTAGCGGCACCAAAGAACTCCTTCGTAATTTTTTTGCTTTCGCGTGCCACTTGTTACTTAGAGCGTTCGCCGAAATATGTATCTTTGGTCTATCTCGGACGTATCTTGCCGTCGACAAGCGCGAAACAGTTGTACACCGCGGTAAGAGCCTGTTTGATAGTGACAACGATAGCGACAATTATGTTTGGATGTGTACGGTGTATCGAATTATGCAATAACTACCGATACAATCGGCAAATCTCGGAGACAATTTTTATCTGGAGCTATTATTAGTCGTCCTGATTGAAAACGATACGATCGCCACTTAATCCTCGCTCGGTTTTTTATTTTCGCGCATTTCGACGGTCCGATAAATCCCTTCTCTCACTCGCTCCACCGATTTGTAATTATATTTTGCAATATTTTTCGACATGTTTGTCGAGTTGCTTTATCTTCCCGTTAAGCAGCGTTCAGTTTGAATCGGAAACAACCGGACGATGCCTCTTCTAGTCATTTTAGTTGCCGATTGCTGCTCTACGCGCCGAGCAATCGGCGAAAAGAAATTCGCGTTCGACGATTAGAAAGGTGTCGCGCCGTAATGATCGGAAAGTGACACCTTCGAGAAGCGGACATTGAAAGTGAAACGAAGGCGGGAACGAGTTCTAGAAGTCAAGAGTAACCTGTCTAATTCGCGAAGCGGCGAGGTCGCGCATTCAATTAGTCAATTGTATTATCGAATCTCGAACCGAAGATGCGCAGACTAAGTCGATTTCGCCGTGCGACCTGCTCCTACACGGGGCAATATCTGTCGATGATCTCGGGCCGGCTGTACAGATAATATCTCGGCATCTGCCTGAGGTCATCCGCCGTGATGCGTTACCCGCGAACGAGCCTTCTATTTTTAACCCCCGTCGAATAGTCTACTGATAAGCCGCTCCCACGGAAGTGGACAGTCGATAACGGCTCGCTGTTAAAATTCTCGCTCTTTTTATCCCCCCCTCTCTCTCTCGCTCTCTTGTTCGTTCTCTCTCTTTCTTTCTCCCTCTCGCTTCCTTTCTCTTCCGTAAAGTCGTAAAACGATAGCAAACGCGGCGACCGGTGTAATGATCAACGGCGACACAAGGGAATCCCCGCGCGCGCGCTCTCTGTTACGGACTTCTGATCCGCTTCTAATTGCACGCGTGGAATCCGTGAGAGAAAACGGTTCGACGGCCGAAGAATTTCCGGAATTCCGCGAGCGTTTCGGTGAATTGTAAAACCGGAAATCCAGCGAACCTTTCGTTGAATTACCGGCCGGTCTCATCCGAAGTGGCTGCCATAAAACGTCACCGTTCCGAATCCCCCGTTACAAACTGTAACGTTTAGACACGCGGGTATTTGCTCGGTCCATTACAGCCTCGCCAGATCGTTTTGGGTCAGATGATGGGATTCACGCGAATATGACGTAAACGCTGCGCGTTCGCCAAATTCGATGAGTAACAATGTGGACAGGGTTATATTCGAGGGCCGAAAGCAACGCTCGACGAAATCGAAACTATTTATAAAGCCGACGGTTCAGTCATCCTTCCATTGACGTCGCGCCGTTTGGATATAATATTAGCAAGATCGACAGTCCGGACTGTAATTACAGCGCTCGCGTGTCGATTATGCCGCGATCAGATTGATTACGGGAAGGATCAGATGATAAGAACGACACGTAAAAGTATCGAAAGATTTTATGACGTCCGTTACGGCCGACCACGGGCGACGCAACGCCTTTGAATTAATTTAATTATACAAGCTTCACCGGCCCGTTCGCAAGCGCGGAAACTATAAAATTTGCTCTGTAATCACTCGGAGTCTCTCCTGAAACCGTAATAGGTTTCTCTTTTAATGTCTAATTTAATGCCTCTTTCTTTCCCTTTCTCTTGGATCGGTTCGCAGCTACGCCTAATTCGCAGAGTGACTAACAAGCGACATCCAAGGTGTGTGTATTGATCGATAGATAATTTATCAGCGTCCCGATTGTATGCACTGAAGACAATGCTTTTATTGATTGTGCGCCGACCAAAGGTCCTTGTCCGCCGAATCTCAAGTTAATTAAATTTTTTAATTAACCGACCTAATAATAATGTAAAACACTTGTCCACTTGGTAAGGCCGTATTTGTAATCTTTATCGCAATGTTTCCTCGTAAAATCTGTTTATCTTGGAATCACTGTGAAGAAGGATCACGTGTTTGGCCCAAAAAAAGAATGTCCGAGGCGAGTGTTAGCCAAAATTGAATGATCAATTCGTCAATAAGTCGGCGAAAGTCTGAAGTCTCGACGAGAGAACACCCGAGAAACAAACAAACGATAACCCTGGGCATGATCGGCGAACGCTCTAATCGTTGCTATTAACAGGCTCCTTAATGACCATCGTAGCTCTCTGCTACGTTCAAACTTTCACGTAGGCCTCTGTACCATGAAAGGCGGCAGATCCGAGAAGTAATTTAATTATGCAACAACTATGTTTTTCCACGAACAGTAAAAAGCTAATGAATATCCACGGAATCGTTCAACCGTGACCATCGTTGAAAGAATATGAAATAAATAAGAATAAGAAAATAAGTTTTTATTAGATGGAGATATAGTTAATAAGACAGCTAATTAAATACCTAATCAAATGTGATGCAAAAATCTGCAAAGATCACTTCCGTAATGGAATATAGTAATGTGAATTTCTTCAGCTTCAATTTGAGACTTAAGATATTACAAAATTTTCAGCGAGAAAGCAATTAAATATAATTTATTATTATATTATTAATATTATTATTATATATTTTATAGATATTATATATAATATATATTATTATATATATTATTATATTATTATATATATTATTATATTATTATATATATTATTATATATATTATATATATTATTATATATTCTTATTATCTTAAAATATCAAAATAGCGCCACTATACATAGTAGCAAAACGTCCGAACTGTTAGCCAAATCGTATCGACGGAGCGAAATAAAATAATGAAGATTCTGTAAGAATCCGTACAGCGCCAATTATTCTAGTGGCGAAATGCTCAAACTGGTACACGAAATTACCAACAGTCGATTTTGAGCTAGTACTTTCAGCTAAACGGTTACGTAAAGAATCAACGATATCGTGAACCAAAAAAATCCTGTAAATTAATTATCAATGAAAGCAACACGATAACATCATTTATGATTAGAAAATATCAATCAAGGGAATTGAAAATTAGCAGCTATTAGCTCGGTATCATCCTCGACTCAAAACTCATTGCAATTTGCAATGTTTTTTGAATCGAGGATGATACCGATTGCCCGGTCTCACCGCGAGGAGGTTGCTGCTTTAGAGACCCGAAAGGGAGTCAGAACGAAGTCGGAATTCGCTATGGCTGCCTTTCTTACGACGACTTAAAAACTAACACACTCACTCGCCAGCTAGCTAGCGCATACCCACACACGCGCACGCACGCACGCACGCACTCGCATATGTCAAGTATTATTGCGGACCAAAGTAAATCAAAGAAGAAGTCTCTGATCCACGGGGACCAAAATGAATCAGAGCAGAAGGCACTGATAACCTAGAATTTACAAGCTTTCTCTTTCTTGTAATAGAACATTTATCCTGTAAATACAGTAAAGTATTATGAGTATGGACACACGCTTCCTCGAGAATTATTCAACTCGAATAAACCGGCGTTGGCGACGATCGAGACGTCTGCGCAGAACTTGTTGAGCAGTAAAATGGTTGGGATACGCTGGCCAGCTTAGACAGCACTAAGGAAGAGGGAGAAAGAAAAACGTACAGGAGTGAGTAGGTTCAAGTAAGATGCAGCAAAATTAGGCGCGAGAACGCGAGAAGTACACAGTTCTATTGAACGAGACAGTTGCTTACGAGCTTGTAACATTAATCATTTTGATATTAACAGTTTTAGTTTTTATATTTCACATAAACATGAGCGAGCAGAGTCAAGTCGATAACGATGTAAATCTTTATTTTGTTGTGTCAAGCAAATACAAAACTGAAGATGATTGTAATGAAGACATGTGGCAGGCATATAATGTAAGTGAATTAATCTGTTAGAAAACAAAGGTATTTAAGGAACATTGCAGTATAATTTCGTTGATCATGTTCTCAGAATTGCTGTGAGCATAACCTGCAACCGATATGGGTTACTGAAAAGAAATGTAATAAAATGGAGCCTGCTAAAAATGATGTCTTTGTAATGGAGGAATTTAAGGGTAGTGCATTTGAGAGATTGAAGACATTTAAATGTCCGTAAGTAGAATCTTCTCATCGCCTAAATATCTGTCTTATTTTGATATCTCGTATATACTCTATCGAATATAATTTCACCCTACAAAATATACTTTTACAATAATAAATAAAACAAATATTTCCATTTAGAGATTGTTGTTCTAGTGTATTAAATATTCTCTGATCCCTGTAGGCTGGTTGGACCTAAATGCTTGCTAATCTGCTTTGTCAATGGTCAACCAATTCCAGAAGGTACAAGTCCAGTGTATACAACAGCTATGAGAGGACTTTGTGTGTGTGCATCGGGTTTGACACCGCAAGAAAAAGTATGCCTCATGCATTTTATCAAATTACCAGTATTTAAAAATTACAAATTTTTAGGAACACGTAGAAAAATTAGTAGAATACATGGGTGGTATTTTTACCAAACAATTGCGCAGTCGTGTAACACATCTTATAACTGGATCAGTGATGTCTGCAAAGTATGAGGTATGTTCATTAACGTATAGTGGCTTATATCTTTTAATCACTTATCTTATTCAACAGGCTGCTACAGATATGAAAATACCAATAGTTACTAAGGAGTGGGTAGAAGCAATTTGGGAGGCAAATTTAAAAACATTTGTTCTACCAGACGATGACATGTTCAATAAATATAAGGCTTCCGTCTTTCTTAATTTAATAGTGACATCGACTAACCTCCCAAAGCGCAAAAAAGATGAAATCAAACTTTTAATTAATGAACACGGAGGGGTAAATTTATTTATACAATATAATTTCTTTATCATACTATTAATTTTTTAAGATTTATTTATACTAATATCTTTTTAGACGTTTATGGGCCCTCTAGATGGTGCAAAAGTTAAAGTCTTAATTGCTCCAGAAAATAGTCCAATGAGTGAAAAACTGAAGTATGCAAAGCAAGCAAATATAGCATGTTTGATACCAGATTGGGTTTATGAGAGTATAAAAGTGGGCTACGCTTTACCTTTTAAAGATTTTTTAATTAAACCATTGAAAGCATATTCTACTCCAGAGAAATCAAATGGTACAAATATTCTACTTTATTACTAATAAAAGCAGGAACTAATTACGCCTTTTTTATATCGTAGCATATGATACATTTAATTGTTCTGCCATAAGTTCCATACCGTGCGACATACAACCAGGGAATTGTGTAGACGAAAGTATGACAACGACAATAAGCAGTTTTCTTTCAACGGATTCTCTATCTAGAGATACAAACGGTCGGTAATGGAGTAGGAGAAATATGATCTATTATATTAGAAAGTTTAATCTTAAGTTTACATATATTTTTAGTTAATACAAATGCAGTTTTGGAAAGACTAACTTTCAACGAAGCAAAATTGTCCGGTCCATTTTTGGACGGATGCAATGTGAGTAAATTTAATGTAAATCGTACACTAGCATCTCATGGGTATTTCAATGCTTTAACTTTTCAGATTTATCTCGCCGGATTTGCTTCCAATCAAAGAGACAAGCTCAATAAGATATTAAATGTAGGTAGTGCAACACGTCTAGATGATATATCGGATGCTGTAACGCATGTCATCGTTGGAGATGAAAGTAGAGCCAGCAGTGATCTTAAAATGTTGAAATCAAAAGGATTATGGTACGTTGTCGTTTATTTTTAAACCAACAATTTTAAATTTGAGTGCTATAAATATTATGTATAGTTCCCATATTTTAACTTCGGAATGGCTCGAGGAAAGTATGAAATTAAAACGCCCCGCACCGGAAGAAAATTATTTGTTTGTACAAAAGCATGGTCCAGCACAAAAAGTTCCAGAACCTCCCTCCCCGTTAAGCAAAAGAGTAAGTACATAAAGAATGCAATTTTTATGTATAAGAAAAATATTTAAAATTAACGTGTCTGTTTCAGAATTTACAGATGTTGCAAAAACCGAAGAAAGTACCCATACCATCTTTCGACATAGATAAAAAGTTGGCAATGTTAGAAAAAGAAAAAGACTCTGATCTTGTGCAACAGTATCTTCAAGATACAGTTGGTAGTGTATTTATTTTCTTAATATAATATTAATTTTTGAAAATTACTTTTTTATTCTCAATTCAGTTCCAGGGAACGATACGAGTATACAAGAATTCCTTAAACCGCACACGCCCGTAAAGGATGACAATGAAAAGACTTTAGTCTACAATCGTAACAGCCAGATCAAGTCAATGAAAGGCACAGTTTCATTCGGAGCTACAGAAAGTAAATATTCGGCAGATGATAGTGCAGTACCGATCAGCCAAACATCGACGTTAAATGATAGATTATTTGAAGGTAATACTGCATATACGATTGGCGTAGATGTTATTAATTAATGAAGTAATACGCAGGACTCACGTTCGTCGTGGTCGGCTTCAGCGAAGAAGATGGTTATGTAGCAGAAACTATCGCAGCAATGGGTGGTCAAGTAGTTTCAAGCATGTTTGCCGGTATTCCAGATTATGGAGTTGTACCAAAATGTGGTGCTGTATTGAAACATACCGTCAACGAAATTGTCACCGACCTGTTTATAGTAAATATCATTTTTACATGCAAAAATCTGTATGACCATGGAATACTTTTTGGTGCTAATTTATTATAGGAAGACTGTGTAAACCAGGAAGCAATAGTTGACATTGTGTACTATCATAGACCTTTATCTATAAAAAAACATTCGAACCCATTATCAGGTTGTGTTATCACAATGAGCATGTACACTGGTGTAGAACGAACGTTTCTTGCGACGCTAGCTACAGAACTGGGCGCAATGTATGAAATCTTTATTATTGATAGCTTAATAGTAACAAATACATTAAAATAATATTGATTTTAGGTGCCAAGATATTTTTGTACGTAAAACCAATCTTGAAAAGAAGACGTATGGAAGTACCCATTTAGTATGCCCAACACCAGAAGGGAACAAATACAATGCTGCAGTGAAATGGAAATTGCCAGCTGTCACTGCCGACTGGTTGAAAGCTTGCGCAGCTCAAACAAAACGCGTTAACGAGACTCCGTATCTTGTAGGCGAAACTATAGGTATGTACTGTTTTGATAAAATCATATTACGATGTAATACAAGTGCATATTGTTTAATAATAGCTCTTGAAGAACCGAACGAGAATGGAAACATAAGCGCATCTAGTTCTGATACAAATCAAATGGGTCCTCCATTGGAGGTGCCAAGCAACGATATTATTACTCCGAAACGACCTTTACCTAATTTACTGGTAGGTACACATTGGCCACATTGTAAACGGAATTGTTATATATTGTTTCTATTGCAGAGTCAAGAGGGCAGTTCAGGAGACACTCCACTAATAAATAAACGACTCAGTTTGCTTATGAATACGACCCCACAGTCGCCGTTCCATGTGTCGACGCCCGAAACACCATACGGACAAGTGTTTAAACCAAATCCATCACCGGATACGAGGAAAGGATGGCTTAAGTGGATAAACAATTTCCCAGACTTAAGAGTGAAGGAACCTCCCTTAAAAAGAAGACCACCTAGTACTGTTTGTATCAGCATCTCTTGTTCTGCGCGTACAATGTAATAACTTATTTTAATATCACTGAACTTGTAGCCTCTTTCCGAATTGAAAAGACAACTATGGCAAAAATTGGTAAACGATTGCCAGGATCGAAACGTAAGTATACACAATTTGAACAGTTGTGTTGATTGACTTATTCTATGTATTTTACAACATATTAAAGCGTATAGAAAATTTCAAAGGTTATTAAATTTAATAGGATGATGCGAATGAAATGATGGTCACTGATAACAATGAACCAGCTGCAGAAACACCTGTGGAAACGAAAGATTCCACTGAAATGTCTCCATCTACTCCAATCAATAGAAAATTAGTGTTCCCTAACGAGAATCCACCAGAAAATAATGAAATTAATATGTAAGTTATATAAAATTCCTAATTGAAATAATTGCACGTTATCTATCACTGCATTCATCCTGCAGGCAAATTGCACAGTTGCATCAAGTACTTCAAAGAACCTCGAGCACGCCTGAAAATAGATATTCCCTTTCCGGAGAAAGTGCAAGCACATATAACACAGAGCCTTCTGATCCCATACAAAAATGCAAGTATATAATATCATTTTCGCCTCCTTATGTGATAGTTCTATCTAATTATACGTTCCTTATAGTTATCGTGAAAGACTCTCAACCAATTGATGCTATTGTGTGGGAAGATCCGAGTCACTCGAAACGCGTAAGTTTTTCCCAATTTTGTAAATAAAATTCCTTAATACATTACAATTAATTGTTAGCTTATTTATATTTATAGTTAACGTTCAATGAGGAACAGAATGAAAGTGTTCGTAATCACCGCACAATAGACGACGAAGAAGAGCTAGATGAAGAAGAGGAAACTATGGAGGAGCAGGCAGAAGAACCAGAGCCTCCAAAGAAATTGAAATTCATGTTATCTGGTATAAAGGTATGTTGTAAAGAATCATTTGGTCGATGAAAAATATATATTCTCTAGTTTAGTTACATAGACACAATATGTTATTTTAATACACTTCTTTAATAGGACAGAATAACTTTTGAACAAGTAATAAAAGATCTCGGTGGCGATGTATCGGTGGATGCTAATTTCGATATGAGCGCAACGCATTTACTTTGCATTAGACCATCGAGAAACGAAAAAATGCTTGGCAGTATCGCGTCAGGAAAGTGGATTCTCCATTGTATGTATTTGCGAGACTCTGAGCAAGAAGGAAAATTCCTTGACGTCAGTATTTGTGTATTTAAAACGGTTGCGTAATAATGTCGTTGGTATTAATTATATTTGTTCATAACTATACATAACTTTGTTATTAATAGGAAGAAAAATACGAGTGGGGTAATCCAAAAAGTAAAGGCATTATTCCAGACCCAACAGGAGAAGTGGAAGAGACAATTGCCAAAGCAGCTTACAAATGGAGGCTTCAATTGTTGAAAGTTCCAACTGGTCCCTTTCATAATATGGTAGCTCTTCTACTAGCTTCCGGAGATAAACACGATCAATTTAAAAGGTTAATCGAAGCTGGAGGCGGTAAAGTCGTTCAAGCAAGGTGAACTCCTTTTCAACATTCCGATCGTGTCATAAAAACAGTTAATGTGTTCATATTCCATTTATTTCAGGCCACCGTATGACACAAGTCCAACTGGGAAAAAAATTACGCATTGTTTCGTCAATCTAAGACAAGTCAGTCAGCCAATTGACTGGGCAATGTTGGCGAGCAAAGGTATTTTATGCTTCATGCCACAATATTTGAGCGATTATCTAACAGCACAAACACCGCTGAATCCGCGAGAATGCGTAATACCGGAATTCAGGAAGTATTTAACGTTACTGCCGAAGTGAAAAAGTAAAAAAAGAAAATCTTTTTGATAAGATTTTGTACGATAATAACTGAATTGCTAGGTTGTGTAAATAAATGGAATTATATTTCTCATGTCTTATAAATTGCCTGTTTATTAGCCTAAAGTTATGTACTGTGGCTTATAATACAATAAGTATTTGAAAGATCCATGCGATTGTCTTAAAGTTTCCTTAAATTCAGTATGAAGTCTTTTGGAGCTTGAAGGAAGACGTTATAGCGGTCTACGTCGTATTTGTAAGTGGGATCTAGTGAAACTTCGAAATCCCTGAGCACCGTGATCACTCCCATGGCAGACTGGATCATACCAAGCCTCATTCCTATATTTCATAATTATATGTTATTAAAGTATTTTCAATGTTGACGAAGTTCCTCCAACTAGTTTAGTGTTAATAATCATGCTCTTACCAATACAATTTCGTGGACCTTCTCCAAAAGGCATGTACGTGAATTGTGTAATATTGTTCTTATTTTCATCGCTGAATCTATCAGGGTCAAAACGATCTGGGTCAGGGAAGTACCTTGGGTCGCGATGGAGTCCACATAGGGGTATATATATTGGCGTTCCTTTCTCTATTACTATGTCGGTTCCTGGTACCTGCGGAACGTTAAATCAAATGAACTTAATTTGCAAAGTAATATGTAACTTCTTTTCGTGTCAGGTTATTACAAAGTAGTTACGCGGTGATTTAAATCAAGAAAAACTAACTAATGGTATTCAAGCGTAAATATGTACGTAACCTTATTGTAAGGACAGCAATAAAATATTACTATTGATATTGGCATAACAAGTATACTCAGTTATTTGAACATGACTGCATTCTTCGCCGTCTCAAGCGACCAATACTTCATCTTTAGAGATAAGAATTCTTTAAAAGACGAAATCTTTGCTACGTCAGATACAATATTTTTTTATAGTAACATAATATATAATATAATAATATATATATATAGTATATATATATAACTACTAAGGTAGTTTGTACATATACTATATATATAGTAACATAAGGGTTTGCTGTACCTTATAGTCGGTAGAAGTGATTCTATCAAGAAGCGGAGCTGCTGGGTACAGCCTCAGAATCTCACAAATCACTTGATTAAGGTACTTCATATTGTGAATGCTCTCGTATGTTATTCCTTCAGCTTTTATAATATCTTGAATCTCTTTGCGTACTCGTTTCTGTATATCTGGATATTTAGAGAGCTCGTAGAGCGTGAAACAAATCGTGGTCACGCTAGACTCGCGACCAGCAACGAAAAATATAGCTGACTGACTCACCAAAACATCTCCTTCCAATTCTGTAATTCAATTATTTATCATTGCTGTCAGATCATTCTGTTAATAATATAATAAGTATGTAACTTTCTTTAGCGAAATTCCGATGCCATAACGATAAACAAGCACCTACTGTAATCGTTGTTTCTCTTATCGTCCTTAATCTCGATGAGGGAGTCTATTAAGTCTCCCCGTTTCGATTTCGACATCTCTCTGTTCTCCATAGAATCCCAAAATACGCTGCGAAAATAGTCCGTAGTGGAACCTAAAAATTTTCCACCTATGTACTTGGAAAATGACGGAAAGAAAAACATGAAGAAGAATTGTACGCTTCGTCTTATCGTAGGCGTAAGTCCTTCTTGCGCTATAACAGATAAGAAAATAGAATTGAAATTCTAATCACGTTCAAAGCCGCTTGCGTTATTCTCTTATGAGGTACCTTTTCTAAAGAATTCATCATTGTTTTTGTCGAAAGAATTCACATGAATTCCAAAAGCAATGGAGGATATGATATCCGTGGTGTACTTTAGGGCAACAGTACGCATCTCGATGGTCTTCGTATCTGATCCCGATACCTCCTTCAGCAAGTAGTTCTTCATCGACTCTGTGGTTTCGACTATCAAGTGGAACAGTTTCTTCATTTTTCCACTCGTGAACACAGGAGTTATTTTTGTCCTAAGCAAAGATCCGTCGATCGTGATAATAAATTACCGTTTCGAATTTATTCATTTTCGTAAATACTAAGGAAAAATTCGACCGGCAAGTTCTGTTAACGTCGCGTCATATCGTGTCAAAGTGTAACGTCTTCTCAAAAAAAAAGAAATTATATTAATAATATTAATATAATAATTATTATATTAATATTATTAATATAATTCCTTTTTTTATATTATATTAATATAATATAATTATTATATTANTGAACTTAATTTGCAAAGTAATATGTAACTTCTTTTCGTGTCAGGTTATTACAAAGTAGTTACGCGGTGATTTAAATCAAGAAAAACTAACTAATGGTATTCAAGCGTAAATATGTACGTAACCTTATTGTAAGGACAGCAATAAAATATTACTATTGATATTGGCATAACAAGTATACTCAGTTATTTGAACATGACTGCATTCTTCGCCGTCTCAAGCGACCAATACTTCATCTTTAGAGATAAGAATTCTTTAAAAGACGAAATCTTTGCTACGTCAGATACAATATTTTTTTATAGTAACATAATATATAATATAATAATATATATATATAGTATATATATATAACTACTAAGGTAGTTTGTACATATACTATATATATAGTAACATAAGGGTTTGCTGTACCTTATAGTCGGTAGAAGTGATTCTATCAAGAAGCGGAGCTGCTGGGTACAGCCTCAGAATCTCACAAATCACTTGATTAAGGTACTTCATATTGTGAATGCTCTCGTATGTTATTCCTTCAGCTTTTATAATATCTTGAATCTCTTTGCGTACTCGTTTCTGTATATCTGGATATTTAGAGAGCTCGTAGAGCGTGAAACAAATCGTGGTCACGCTAGACTCGCGACCAGCAACGAAAAATATAGCTGACTGACTCACCAAAACATCTCCTTCCAATTCTGTAATTCAATTATTTATCATTGCTGTCAGATCATTCTGTTAATAATATAATAAGTATGTAACTTTCTTTAGCGAAATTCCGATGCCATAACGATAAACAAGCACCTACTGTAATCGTTGTTTCTCTTATCGTCCTTAATCTCGATGAGGGAGTCTATTAAGTCTCCCCGTTTCGATTTCGACATCTCTCTGTTCTCCATAGAATCCCAAAATACGCTGCGAAAATAGTCCGTAGTGGAACCTAAAAATTTTCCACCTATGTACTTGGAAAATGACGGAAAGAAAAACATGAAGAAGAATTGTACGCTTCGTCTTATCGTAGGCGTAAGTCCTTCTTGCGCTATAACAGATAAGAAAATAGAATTGAAATTCTAATCACGTTCAAAGCCGCTTGCGTTATTCTCTTATGAGGTACCTTTTCTAAAGAATTCATCATTGTTTTTGTCGAAAGAATTCACATGAATTCCAAAAGCAATGGAGGATATGATATCCGTGGTGTACTTTAGGGCAACAGTACGCATCTCGATGGTCTTCGTATCTGATCCCGATACCTCCTTCAGCAAGTAGTTCTTCATCGACTCTGTGGTTTCGACTATCAAGTGGAACAGTTTCTTCATTTTTCCACTCGTGAACACAGGAGTTATTTTTGTCCTAAGCAAAGATCCGTCGATCGTGATAATAAATTACCGTTTCGAATTTATTCATTTTCGTAAATACTAAGGAAAAATTCGACCGGCAAGTTCTGTTAACGTCGCGTCATATCGTGTCAAAGTGTAACGTCTTCTCAAAAAAAAAGAAATTATATTAATAATATTAATATAATAATTATTATATTAATATTATTAATATAATTCCTTTTTTTATATTATATTAATATAATATAATTATTATATTAATATCTATTAAGATCTTCAGTATTATTGTTGGCATTTTAAATCATGCTATCGTGATTTTACTCACCTCAATTGCCTCCAATCCGGGTTTTTGATAGTGAAAAGATTAGAACTGCCGATCTTGTCCTGATGAGACTCGGCGGTGAAAAATCGGTCCGCGAAAATGTGGAAATCCTTGACCATGATTTGTTTAATCAGTTCCGGGCTCCTGATCAGTAGAAAGGGTTTGTGGAGCATGTAGATCCCGTACATGTCCGCATCCGTTGGAGCGTGAAGAAACAAGTCGCCTATCAAGAACGCGGCATTCTTTCGAAACAACACTGCATCTTTCACGTTACCGTAGAACCAATGTCCTGAGGTCGAAGGGATACCCTTTCTTCTCCAATAAGTATGCGAATAGTTCATGTACAAGTAAAACAGCACCCCAATCACGGGGGCTACGAGAAGAGCATTTAAGATCAACGTTCCATACACCATCGCGGCTCGCGGATAATTGACACTGACAGAGATCCGCTAAGTTGCTGCTCCTAAATAACTATGTAAACAATTATGTAAGTATAGGCATTCGATTATTACGTCTCAGATATCCCTTCTATCACTAAACGAGTTCTTGCTCTGTGTAAGAGTTTTCATAACTTCATTTATCCGAGACCGATTCTTATCGACAATTTCTTCCAATGACCGACCATAATCAAAAGGGGGCAGATATATTGTTTTATTTTGGAATGATTGGCACAACTATCACAAGTCGCACTTTGATAAGCTACAGCGTAGAGATTGTAAAACAATAATCTACCATATCGCAATTTACAGAATGTTCCATTTAAATATTTTGTTTATTATTATTAGGGTATGTTGGAGGAACAAATATCTTGTTAAAAACGAAATCAAGAAGCAGCCTACGACCCGAATACAAAAAAAAAACGCTGATAATATTGGAATCTCGGAAAATATGACCGTGGAAAAAATTCGCTGACCATAAATAAGGATTATCTCTCGAACTTTAATTATATTTTCCTCTAATATTTTTTTCTGTTATCAATAAAAAATGTTAGGTTCGCCCTATCCTATCCGCCTTTAAATCGACCGCAAGCAGAGGAGGTGTAAAATCTACCAAAAAGGAGGGGTGGATTAGTTACTACGAATTAGTAATTATTTATTTATTATTATTGTTTATTATTATTATATAAAATTATTTATATCCGCGGTCAGTTGTTGTAACAGCAATCCGAACAATTCGCCCTTCCGTTTATTTAACTAAATAAAAGCGAAGACCTAGCTGAGTCATACAAAATTCATATATAAAATATTCGCCAAAAAGTGTGCTTATTAAACGAAAATAGAACGCGACTGAGACAAGTGGAAAACACGTCGAAGTGCATTATGTAGGTCCACCGAGACGAAAGCCGTCTAATGATGGTGAGCTACGTCGGTTAGAAAACCCGATATTCGCTTGAACACGCGCCTTTTCCGTCAAAAGTCCAATCGAACAACGTGTTTGGGTTTCCTATGCGTAGAGACGAAGCTGCTAGTTTGCGGCAGATCTAGCAGTTCTCTCACCGGAGTGAGAGCTGTCGGCAGCGCGAAGCGCTGAGGTACTTACAATGCCGACCGAATTGCTTGCTTTCTAGAACTAGACTGATTTCGAGTAAAACTGCCGCGAGCAGCACCCATTTCACCTGCGGACTCTACCATACACCGGAATCGGTATCGATATTCAAATTAGAATCAACGGTTGCATCACGATTTCCACCGTACAACATTTCAAATTTACCGCACTTCGTTCAGCGCTATTACACATAGTGGTAAAACGCTAAAACAGTTAGAGAAATTTATCGACAGAGTTAAATAGTCTCTGGCCTAGTGGCGCCATCTGATGTTTCCTACAATTAACCGCAATCGATAATTTGTCTACTAGTTCGAGCTCTTTACCACTACGTGTTTTGGCGCTGTACAAACCTCATACTCTGTTTCAAGATTTCACCACAAGCGGAGCCATTTACCACAAATGGCGCTGTTTTTAGACTTTAATCGCTTTTCAATTTTCCCTTTTACAATTACTCACCATCCTAGATCGCTCTATTAACCTTCTCCTTATAAATAAATTTGTACCAAACATCCATGATTATTTACGAGAGATTTATTTTAGCGTCTATGTTACATGAATTATACATATTTATATATATATTATCATTATTAATGTCGTTATTAGTACAATCTTACACGGTTCGATAAAGGTCCTAGTATAAACATCACATTATCGAACGAAATTGTTTAAATCCTACGGGTAACTATAGATACATATACAGTACATAGCATTACCTTTTCGTTTTCTTTCGCCGTTCAAGATTTATTAACAAGTTAAGCTAGTCAAGTGAGATTGCAGACTATCGCGCATTCTGTCCACTCCCAGCAGGTACAACAGCAACAACAGCCTCAAACGCAACAAGATGCTCAACCGAAGTGAATATTCTGAATAATCGTGGTTCTATTCGATCAAGTGTCGCGGTGTTTCAAATCTGTATCGTCTAAATGAGCCAACGTCGTATCAGGCACTCAATGTAATGATAACATTCCAAAAAATATCACATTGGCTACAATATGTTTACCGAGAAAAATGTCTCTTGAATGTTCCTATTGCGTCAGAAGATCGGTATCCTTATCATTTAATCTCCTGCTCAGTCATGGAACGTGACGTATCGAGGTCATAAATAATCATTTCATAATCGTATTAATATTGAAAAAGTGATCCGGTTTTTATCATTTTATAGTCTTTGGAAATTTGCTGGCCGAATTTGCGTTTAACGTTAACGATTTACAGAAACGTTGTTAATCATCATCAAGTTTTGTAAATTACGAGATAGCATTACTATAAGGTCGTTATAGTATTAACTGCTTGCATCAAGTTGCTCTGCCAATCCATTTTTGTACCGTCAGTACCTTGTGCGACGAAAGAAATCATACTATTGAAATTAGTTGGATGGTCTTATTGTTTTAAGCTCATTCAATGGTTGAATGGCAAATTGTGTAATTGTAATACCTATCAGACATGTAATATTTTTTAGCGGGGCAAGTCGAGTGTTCAAAAGTACCAAGCAGCGAAAACTACACTTAACTGGAAATTCATGCCCATAATCGTTCGCAACCGGATTGGATAAGATTTTTATAATACTAAGTTTCAAATGCTGTAAGACGAGATTTTAGTACGAGAACACGTATTTTAGTTCCTTATCTCGCCCCGAAACGATTTAGTATTTTACAGAGGACATCTTCATGATGGTAGAGCTGTTTTACTTCTTCTTCTTTCGACTTCTTCTTTCGATTCGACGGGGCTAGCTCTTGCCGTCGTAACAATTGGTTTCCCCTGAGCGGGAGCAGCTTGTCGCAGTTGTGCACTGCTCGCGGTCACGACCTGAATCGTTTGCTTTAGGGCAGTAGATGAGACCGGAATTACTCTTGTCTGCAGCGGGGACTTTCCCAATACCACCTGACCCGGCTGAGAACCGGCTTGTCCCGTAGAGACCTTTAAATAACATCATATAAATTCCTTCGAAAATGACTATTAGAAAATTAGATGAGAAACCCAAGCAAATAGACTACCCGACATACATGCGTGAATTGCTGCATAGCCGAGGGTTGCACATGCTTCATCACTTGTATTTGTTGCACAGTCATCGTGGCAGGCAAAGATTTCTGCTGCACGATGAGCTGCGTCTGAACGCCGGTTTTACTGGCGACTTGTGCCAGCTGGGCGACCTTCTGTGCCGGCAATTTTCTTTGCGTGATGATTTGAGGATGCAGGGCCAACTGACGTATTTGCTGAGGGGTAGCCGTACGTACACCAACGTTTGCGGTTTTCACCAAAGTGGCGACAGGCGTTCCACTAGCGGAAGTTCCAGGTTGCTGCACTTGTAAACCAGCTTGCGCGAATAGTTGCGCTGGCGTGAGACCAGCTTGACCAGGTACTTGTACTTGAGCCACCGCTTTGGCCTGTTGCTGCAATGATTGTCGCTTGATGAGAGCAGCCATCTCGGTTTCCGATACCGCGCGTGCTACAGTCTGTTTTCCTACGGTTGCTTGACCAACGGTGCCGACAGCTAATCCTTGTTTCATCAAGGTAGCCCTCTGCTGCGCCGCGGCGGCAGCAGAGACTGCTACAGACACCTTCTGACCACTTGCGGCTTGAGCTTGCAGCACCTTCAGCTGCTGCTGACGCAACAGGACTTGCTGCTGTTGCCTGTAGTACTGCACCTGTGCAGCGGTTAGAGTTTTGCTGCCGGATGCAGTTGCCACGGTGACTCCAACGATACCCTTCTGTGTGGCAACAGGAGAACTTTGAGCAGAAGATACTAAACTCGCTGTCGCTATTCTCTGAGCAGCCTGAAGATTGGCTACACTGACAACTGTCGGTGCAGTCCTCACATCTTGCATGCTCAACGTTCCACCTGGCCGAGTTTTAACTGTCGACGCAGCGACTGCTGTGCCACAAGTGGTAACGTTTGTCGTCATCGTTGTGACTGTCTTCATGGTAGTCAGTCCCGTTGTCGCTACGGTAGTGACAACCTGAGTCAACTGATGCACTTGAGGACTCGCGGTGTTCGATAAATTTTGCTGTGCTTGCTGTTGCTGTAGCTTAATTTGCTGCTGCTGCTGTTGTTGCTGTTGCTGCTGAGCTTGCTGCTGCTGCTGCTGCGCTTGTTGTTGTTGCTGCTGCTGTTGTTGTTGCTGTAGTAACCGCGCGGCTACCTGTTGCTGTTGCTCCGCCGTTAATACCTGTGTCTACAAAATACAATTAACGTTACCGTATAATTTTTTAAATAGATTGTTAAAATATTCCAGTATACTAACAGCATGTTTCAATTTTTCTTTGGCGATTCTGTCTGCTCGTCTCGTTGCGACTTCAATGGGAGCCAGTGGACTGTCATACTGAATGCCGCATTCAGCTAAAACGGCTGCGTTCGTAGGGTTCTTCATCAACGGGTTCACAGACAACGGTTTTACAGTGGGCGTTCTTTTGTTGGAAACCGACTTGATGGTGTCAAACCTCTGACAGCACATCAACGTGAACGTGTGATTTTTATCCTGGATGTATAATTGAGATGTTTTCATTGGCCTGTTTGTTTTACTTTGTTGCTGAAAGAAAAGAATTGGATGGTCACTGCCAACGAACATCGAAGCTAAACCCAATCCAGATAACGAAAATATTTGTCCCCTTATAAAATGTGGACGTAACAAAATCAAGTAGTAATACCTCGGACACTTGAGGTATTTTATAAACGCCTTTCTGTTTCTTCTGCTTCTTCGGTGTGGTGTCATACAATAGCTTCCCTTCTTCTCGCGGAACAATCATCGACTCGTACCTGCTTCTGCACTGCTTCGGAGATCTGTATATTCGCGACGTGTTGTTAACTATATCGGCGACCAGATCCCAATTGGGCGTATGACCGGGTGACAGAATCGTCAGGTTCAACGGTAATCCCTGATAAATCTGTATTGCTTGTAGAAGTGCCCAATCCTCGTGTATCATCCAGTCGAGAACATGTTCTTGATCTATAGAAGACTTCGACATATGGGATGGTTTTAAGCCTGGCAGCGGAATTGATGGGCGAACCGTTGCACGGTGTTTGTGCAATTTCATGTCACGACGCATCTTCATGATCGCTGGGGATGGTCGATCGAACAGTGATCTCGGCGCGTAGACAGACTCCTCTTTGTGCCGCATTTTTACCGCCCGCCGCCCTGATGAAACAACTTCGATATTAATATAATGTTCATTAAGAAGAGAATTCTTCGATGAGTAATTCTTGTTCGGAGTAAGTATAGTCTTTTATGTATATTACCATCACGATCGGTAATTCCAGTATCAACTCTACTCCTCTTTTGCTCTTTTTTAATGTAAATCGGAGGCAATTGAGCCTCGGACATGGGGGTATTCTCATAAAGGAATCCCAGGGAGTAGTCGATGTAGACATCATTATCAGTTGTCGGTGGCGTAGGTGGACACCACATCTGGTGGATCAAACGAATCATAGAAATCGTACTATCAAAAACGAAAAATTGAGAATATAAATGTCACAAGCACGTAGATATACTAACCGGCATTTGTTCCATATTATCGTCCGACAACCATATCTGTAAGATATTAAAAGCACTGCTATCAGATCGAATTCGAGGACTGTTAATAATAACGTCCGCTCAGAAAGAAACAAAAACTTGCAAGAGAGAGAGAGCGTCATGTACACCGTATGAAATTATCGATAACGATTTTAAATGAACTTTAACAAAAATAAACAGTATCCTCTTGGTTGTTACAACGTCTCCGCAACGTTTCCAGAAGGGAGCCATTTGGACGAAGAATGCAAACGCTGAATGATCTATCGATCTTGGAACACCTAGGAAATGTATAGGAAAAAGTGTACGGACACTTTGCTCGTTCAAAGGCTCGTTCGTCTCTTTTTCAAGGTCTTTTAAACACCTTCGTGCTGCATCAAGTACTCTGTTACAATGAATTTCAAACGTTGTGCAAGACGCTCATGAATGTGCCTGCTTATACCTTGGCTGACTCCAAGTTTGGAATGGCAAAGGCAGTGTTTTGGTGCCATTTTCGAAATCGCTATTCTTTTTTTCTTTTTTGGAGCTTTAAACGAATTCGTCGCGCAAATGAATTTCCTTTCTTTCTCTCTCTCTCTCTCTCTTTCTCTCTCTCTTCCTTTCTCTCGTTTTATTTATTTATTTATTTTTTTGAATTTATAATGTGCGGTCATGTAAGCCTTGCCACACCAAACATTCGCGAGAATCGCATCGATCGTCCAGATCGACGATCTCGGCTAGAGTTTGCATTTATTTTTCTGTATATATAACCAAGCACACTGAGCAAAAATTTGACACCAAAACGGAACTGAACCTTTGATCGAACAGACTTGGAAACGCACCAAGAAATAAGAGAACACATCGTATCTTCGTAGCAAGGAATTAGTTTTATTTCCTTCCTTGGACTCACTCGATCATACAAAATACAGGCACGCAACTTAAATATTACAGTGGGGCATACCATTAAACGAGTAACTCCTTAAGTCTAGCAATGTAATCAGGTTGTCACCTTGTGAGTTATGTAATATACAAGGCGTTACACACGAGAGCAAAGTACGGCGCGTTCACAGATTTTGTCATTTGTTTTCCGTTCCCATTTTCTTTTTTTTTACTGTCTATCGTTTGTTCTACCTCCCCGACAAATCGACTGTCTATTATTTCCAATTGGCGGATATCTCCTCGCTTGTAAACGCAACAATTGCGCGCGCGGAGCCGCGGCCCATATAATTTGCAGCGTCCATAACGAACTAAACTAGACGGTAGAATTGTTTGCGTGTGTGAATTCTCGTTAACTATTACCTAATATGATACAGTCGAATGTGTCTGAAACTCCTTCCCATTTTCCTCCCACATTATCTCTCCTTCGCTTCTATATATCACCGAGTGTATAAATTACAATGTCGCATGGAAACATTTACGCGGGGAAACCTTTACAGGAGAGCACAAATTTACAAGGCTAAAAATATTACACGCGTGTACCCAGTACAACGGAAAAGATTGAACGTGTCTCACCTCTCAGTTTCTCCTACTTCTCTTAGATCGTTTCCATTAATATGTACAACGTGGGCTTGATGATGATTACGTGAAATTAAAAAAAGAAAAGGACATAGAAAAAAGAGAGAAACAAAAAGAAAGAAAGAAAGAAAGAAGAAAGAAAAATCGATGCGTACAAGAAGTCGGATGATGCGTTACACCTGCTCCAGGAATCTTTTATACAATCCTGCTGCTAAATCTTACAGCGATACAGCCTCAGCGAGACTCAAGACACGGTACCGCTGGTGATCTTACCCAACTGCGCCGTCTGCGACGTAGGAGGAGGAGAAGAGGACGAAGAAGGCGAGAGCTGGGACCGGATCGACTTCTTGGTCGGTGGGATCTGTTCCTCCTGTTCTTCCAACTTATCCTCTATCTCCACTTTGCCGCCGAGGGGCTTGGAGAACGAGGTCAGGCGAGTTCTTTTGATCTTCCGACGCAATCTCTTAGACCCATCCGACGAATCGTAACTGGAATCATTGTCTAAATCGACCAGGGCGATCACGGGCAGTAATTTCTCTGTCTTCAGTTTGGAGTTCAACGGCGATCCGGCCTTACTCACTGTCGCTTTGCCTGTCTTACCAGAAGCGTAAGTACTAGCCACGTTTGTGAGAACTGCGGGGGCATTATCCAGCCCGGTGCCACACCAGCCATCGAGTTTGCAGTTTGACGTGACATCGGAGATCCTTAGAAGACAGTTTTTGTCAGACGACGTGGTAGAGTCGTTCTTCTTACCGAGGCTCTTATTGTCAGTAGAGTTCGTCTTCACGGAGCTCGAGGCCTTGCTACTGTGATTGCTTCTGGTGTCCAGTGTGAGGATCGCTACCACCTTAGCCGTCCGTTGTGGCTTCTCGTTCATCTCCGTAAATCCTGAATCGTCCTGCTTCCCGAACTCCTCGGAGGCGACCGCGTTGCCATTCGAATCCGTACTGAGAGTGTCGGCGAGTGTTTTCGCAGGCGACAAAAACTCTTGTGCTTTGGCCTCTGCGTCTGACTTCCGGATGTGCTTGTTGCTTTTCAAAGGGACAGCCACGTGGTTAGGACTGGACGACTTTCCCGAGTTTAAGGTAAAGTTGAGACCCGACCGCGTAACCCTCGACATCTGCTCGAATGTTGGGACCGGTGTGTCCGGTCGTCTTTTTACGGTACTCGTATTTACAGGTGCGACGATCTCGGTTAGACTCTTCTTAGGCTTTGCAGTAGGACTACCAGCGTCTTTCAACTCCGATGGTGCGGGGCTTAGGAAACCGTTGTCCAAGGACTTCGAGCTTCTTGTAGTTGGCTTTTCGTAAGAGGAGACATTCTGTTCCTCATTCCTTATTGGGGAGTTTACAATGGACGTAGACCTCGTTACTGGTCTGGGAGATAACTTAGAGCCCTCAATTAGTGGAATGTCTGGTTGATGTCTTCTCTGGACCGATTTCGAAGAACTGTTGCTCGGCGGCGGCGTTAATGAACGCCCGGCGCTAGATCTCGTTATTCTACCTTGCTCCAAGGGTCTCGGCGTGTCCGGCCTCCTTATCGGGGCTACCTTGCACGCTTCCTTTTTACTGACAATTGAATTTTCGTTTTCCTGATTGTGCTTTGGTACGTTCGGTTCGGCGTAGCATGTTTCAGAATACGTATCTTTGCTTTCAGTGATCTCAACCGTGAAGTTTATCTTTCCACTTCTCGTTGTCACCCCATAGGACACGGTTTCCGTTTTACGAGACTTGAGCTTGATTTCTAAGGAAGAATCAGACTCGACCGTGTCGCCCGATTCAGAGACATCCATAGAAGATGGAGTCTGTTTATTGTTGTCGTTTCGCTTTTCTTCTTCGTTGAATTTAGTGCGGCTTTCTCCTTTTTCTTCCTCTTCTTCGCTACCGATGTTCTGACTAGAGCTTGTTTCTATCACAGATGTGTACTCGCTATCATTGACTGTCTCGTTCTTTACGTCAGAGACTACATAATCGTTGCATCGTTCGCTCGATTCGACAGGACTTTCTGGTCTCTTATCGCTGTTACTTTCGTCAGCGACGTTGATTTCTGACTCTAGTTTCTCCGTTGAATCTCGGACTGTTTCACTGGTGACAGAATTCTCCGAAGTCGAACTGATTATTTTATCCGTCGACGATTTCGAAGTGGTCTCATTTAACTCCTGAAGAACTGTGTTGCTCTTGAAGGGCGCGGTTATTAAACTTTCGGAAACATTTATTTCCTCGGTCAAATCCGAATCCGATATCATCTTCAACGTACCCGACTCCGCAGCGGACGAGCATGAGCTCCCAGTCTGTGAAAGAATACTGGCATCAGGATTCTCGATTTCCCCGCTAGAATCTGCTTCGCCCGCGCAATTACTTTGCTCAGTTGACTCATATGCAGTGAAGTCAATTCGATCCTGTGTCTCCTCGTCATCGACTTTTGCGTCCAAAAATTCCTCCTGGTGACCACTGGATACAGACTCGTCCAGTTGAGCACAAACTTCTGCTTCCGAAGAATTTGAAACGTAGCTGAATTCATCTCTATCCTTCTGTGTGTCCTTTTTACTGTTCGCCCTTGACGAAGACGCGGCATCGCAATGATTCACAATGGTCTTGCGATCCTCAACATTCTCGGTTGAGCCTCTGCTAGACGAGAGCTTGCTGTTCACTTCGACGCGTTTCAAATCTGTGTCCTCTTTCAGATTCGCTGCCCTAAACTCGTCGTCCGATCTAACAGTAGCATTCAGCTTCTTCGGACTCGAAGATGGCGGCAGAGGCAACACAAAACTTTCTTCCGCCTTCATTCTCATCTCCATCTCTCTCTGCTTTCTCATATTGCTCGCTCTACCACGACACTTTGGCTTTATGCCCGGCAAAATCGGACTCACGTCCAATGTCCACAGATTTATCTTCACGTTTCCTCTGGATCTCGTACGGGGACTGTTCAGATCAAAGTGATTCTGGCTGAACGATTTGTTGGAGCGGTTCTTACGCTTAGGATATCCTCCTCGCTCGGAATCATTTGCTTCGTCCTCCTCCTCCTCGTCATCCTCGTCGCCTTGGCTCTGACTCTCCGTGTGACTTGACTCCTCATCAAGGCTGTCTTCCACAGCATCCTCTTGCGATTCTGACTCCGATTCCGTGGTCGTTTCGCTTTCACTTTCCGTCTCCTGAGCACTTTTACTATTGTTCCTACGCGAGCTCCTCCTTCTCCCCCTATTCGCCGGCAATTTCTTACTGACTAATTTCTTAGAATTACTAGCATTATTAACCTGATTCTGCGCATCCTCGCGGCCGAACGTTAAGGGTTTCTCGTCGTCATCGGCTAACCTCATCCGCCTCTCTTCTTCCTCGCGCAACGCTCGCAGCCGATCCAACTCCCACTCCTTTTTCTGCTCTTCTAGCTCGCGTTCTGCAGCCGCTAGTTGAGCTGCCGAGAATGCGCCCTCAGACTCTTCGACAAATTTCATCGCGTAACGTTCTATGGGTGTGAGCTGAATGCAGAAAATCATTAGTTCGAACAGATCTGTTATTAGAATAGACGATTCAATTGTGTCATCCAAAAAACACAGATCTGATTTTACCTGAGATACCAGGTTTTGCACCTCAAGCTCAGCTTTGCTGACTTGCATGTCATCCTTATCCGCCTCGTCCAAAGGTATATTCTCATCGAACTCTGCCAGATCGGCAACAGCTTCCGCCTTGGCAGTTTTTGCTGCTTGAACATCAAGGTCCTCCTCAGCGGCAGCGAGTGCACTCTCTAACGCCCCCATCGCTACCTTGTCATCAACGCTTTGTCCTTGACCCTCCTTCTGCAGGAATTTCTCACGATCCTTGTTCTGCTCCAACACCTCCGCCATTCGCGCCGAAGCATCATTCTCCGTTTGATCAATGTTGAAGAGATCTTGGATGGTAGACTGTGTAATAATTAAGTTAAACAATTAATAACATTGTTAAATTAAATGATGTTTGTACTTTTATTTTTTATACTTACGCTCTTAAAGTAAGCAGTCGTGAAGTTGCCTCCCTCGATGGCCAAGTCCCCGAGCAATCGCTTCTGATTGGCCTTCTTTAGAATATTTTCTTCCACAGTCTTTTCACTTACTAACCTGAAATAAAAAAATTAAGCATAGAAGATGTATCTCACTTTTACTGACACATTCTGTACATATGGAAGCATCGTTGCTCATTTCTACACACCTGTAGATATGTACATCCCGTGTCTGACCTATTCTATGACACCTATCCTGCGCTTGGGCATCCATGGTAGGATTCCAATCGCTGTCATAAAATATAACGGTATCGGCGCCTGTAAGATTCACGCCCACACCTCCAGATCTTGTCGACAAAATGAAACAGAATATTCGTTTGTCGCCGTTGAATCGTTCCATCAAAACCTGCAATGTACATCGATTAGAAACAAACCTAAGAAATAAAAAAGAAATATTGAATATAGGTGATACATATATAGGTATAATGATCATTACCTGTCGTTGATCCACCCTGGTGGTACCGTCTAAACGCAAATATATATGGCCGTGGAAATTAAGAAAAGCTTCTAAAACGTCCAACATTCTTGTCATTTGTGTAAAAATTAAAACTCTATGGTTATCTGACTTAAGCTTCCTAAGAAGTCGATCAAGGGATTGTAGTTTTCCACAGTCATACTGTATCAGTCGAGGATCTGGGAACTGAGTCATCATTGCACTAGCTACTGGATGGAACAATGCGAATTTCGGCGACAAATAACGTTGCAACGCCATTTGCATACGCCTCTGGGCGAACAGTTTGTGTGGAGGTGGATGAGAAACGTGAAAACGTGGCGTGGGTGCGCACACAGCAGGAACATGAACAACAAACCTGTAACAACAATTATACAATACGATACAACACGGAATGTAAACATAACACGCGTACTTTTTAGTTTACACAGCTTGAATATACCTTTCAAAAACTTCCTTAAGCTCTTCAACGATTTGTTCTGTACTGTTGATTGCTTCCGCGAGTGCTTCTGTACGGGAAAAAAATTGTCTGCGGGTACGAACGTCATCTTTGGCGGATGCACAATGTACCCAACCATTATGCCACCGACAAGCTGTAGATGGTTTACCAATCCTTAACGCCATGAACAGATCTTCACCGTACAGAGGACATGCCGCGCATCTTCTTTCATTGATATTTGTGAGAAGGCGGAGCTTGTCTTGCCTCCTTTGCTTTCGTTCTTCTTCCAACTGCGGCTGTAAGATTAATTGACCAATGAAAATCTAGAGATTTGAGATTTCTACGACTTATATTGATCAGACTGATAATTACCAAATGAAATTCGGACTTGGGACGTTCCTTCGTTTGTGCCTTTTCAGACTCCTTTTGTGCGTGTCTAGTAACAATACCACAACGAATGGATTGCTGAGGAGATTGCCCGTTACCAGTCGAGGGCTGTGCCTGGGAACCAGTCACATTCAGAGGTGGTACTCTCATCACGGGTCTTCCACTGGTTCCACTTGACGTCGTAACCATCCCTCCAACAACTTTGTTCACCGTAGTTGCCGAAGTAGATATGCCCATCAAAGATTTTGATAAAACTGTCAAGCGTTGTCCGCTTGGAGAAATTACTGGAAAGGAAACTGCAAAAACAAAGGGGATATTAAACACCATGTAAGGTCACCTATATTGACATACAAAATGTAGGTAATATTTTCAATGTACGTTATATAAGATTATTGTGGATACTTTATCCTCGCAAACATGAGGAGACATTATTCACGATCATGCAATGTTTATTAATATATTATTTGAAACAACATCCACATAATGAGATGTGCATAAATGAAATATGAAGATGGAGGGTGGTGTACACATTGCCTAAGTATGGGTCACAAATAGGGGTGAGTGGGATACGAGCGTTCATGGGACAAACCTGTGTTAGTGTTTTGCTGATTCGAAGTCAGAATGATATGTCTACCAGTAGATGTTTGAACCAGCTGTGCAAAACTAGGCACTGCTATTCTTTGGACGGAATCACCTTGTTTAACTGTGACTGTCTGCGTGGTTAGTCGTTGCAGTCCATCTTTGATATTCGCATTTCCTACTGTAATCCTCGGTGCATTCGTTGCTGCTGTACTTGGTGTCACTGTTGTACTTTGTGGGTTATGTGCTAGTGTTCCAACAGGGATGGCTATTTCCGAAGCAAACACAACATATATTTTATACAAATGGTGACTTACAGGTAGACTGCGGACGTTTATGCATTTACAAGATATTTTTCCGTTTAAAATGCATTGAGAATCGGTGTCAAAAATGTATCATTTGCTTAAACATCCGTTGTCCACTTACGAGTAATAACAGTATAATTAAATTCAAAAATTTGTTAATATGTAATCTCAAATCTAGAATGCTTATAACACAGGAAAATTATAAACAAGCTGGCATGAGATCCGTTTCCTTTAGCACCACTGCAAAAGTGATTACACAGCGACGATTAATGTGCAACCACTGATCGATGATGCACTGGGATTATGTTTTATTAATGAACTATGACATATATATGTGTATATGTATATGAAGAGAAACAAGTGGACGAAAAATTACCTTTCACACTGCCCTGATGCTGAACTAATTGAACTGAGTATCCTTGCAATTGTTGACCACCTGATACCCTCAAAGTGACACCTGTAAATAATAAAAATTAAAAACCTTGAGTTAAGTTGCAGCAACTTAATGATACATTCACAACCAATTCTAGCTTACCTTGTCCCGCAGTGCTTTGATTATTTAATGTTTTAATTAGAGGGGATGTTCCAACGCGAGTACTGGGTAAGATGCCAGCGAAATTTTTTAGTTTCGTTTGAGTTTGCTGCGGTGTAGACGGTGGTTTGGCTTGATTGGATAGTCTGACATTGATTTTAATTTTTCCTGGTGGACATCTTGGCGGTGGATCCGGTAGAGTATCTATTTCTTCTATAAGCCTTCGTGGCGTTCGTAATCGTCTTACTCTATGCGCAACGAAAGCGGTAAGTGACAGTTCCAAATCGCATAGAAGGAGATTCATACTAGATAAGTCGATATGCTGTAAAACACAAATTATTAACAATTAGTAACTTACAGAATAAATGAAAAACAGTGCTCTGTTTAATACGCACCTTAAATGGGTCGTAATCAAGGACATTCCACACCAACGAAGCCGTAACAAATTCGATAGCTTCCATTTGAAAGGGCGAAACTGTCGGTCTCACTTCGAACAAATTTGGATGATTGCAGACTTTACGTAACTGCATCAACACGTTAATCACACTTAATAGATTACCACTAGCCAAAGTCTCCTTTGTTCTTGAAAAACAAAAAAAGAATTATTAAACCAGTGTAAAAAGTTGAGTGCAGATAATGGATTTTCTGGAAGTATCCCATATACTTACTTTGCTCTAGACATGAAATCATCGTACAGATATCGCTGTCGTTTCGACAAACGGCACATCACCACATGCTCATATTTTTTAGGCAATTGTTTTTCTACTTCTGTTTTCAATCTACGTAATAAAAATGGCCGTAATACCTGAAAATATGCAGCGAGTTGAGTAAATGACGCGGATTAAAACTAATCTTTGTGAGGATAAAATTAGTAAAATTGTTTCTCCAGACAGGATACGTATGTCATACCAGATATATCCTGACACGCGAGTTTTAATAGAGATTTTTAATGTTTCGCTATTATTTTCAAAAACAGAGAAATGCGACAGGTTATCAAATCTCTGGGTCGGAAGCGAGTACTAAAGTAGGTGCAAACATATAAGTACGATGGCAAACTACGTACAGACCTTATGCAGACGACGAATAATGTTTTCATTGTATTCACTGTTTCCTTCAATCATGCCTGTGACGGGGTTGCTGAACCATTCTTTGAATTCTCTATGTGACTGAAATACATTTGGCATTAAAAAATGCATTAGAGACCAAAGTTCCATAAGATTATTTTGAAGTGGCGTGCCCGTTAGTAACAGTCGTCTGCAAAATAAAACGATTCTGGTATTGAACAATTCTTTATTAAAATAAAATTGTTTGAAGTCGCTTCAATATTTACCGCTGCGTTTGAAAATTCAATAACAATTGCCATCTTTGTGATTTAAAATTTTTTATATTTTGAGCTTCGTCCAATATAAGATACTTCCATTTTTTTCTTCGAAAGCTTTGATGATCTTGAATAACTAATTTATATGATGTGATACAGATGTGAAAAGCATTGGGTTTTGTCCAACCTGACGTAAAGAAAAATGGAAGGTGTTATATAAACATCGCGCGCGTTACTTAAATAGAATATGCTTTCATCCGAAGATACGAAACATCACCTGTTCTTTTTTGTTTTCTTTCTTTTTGTGTTCCATAGTATGTCAAAATCTTGAAACCAGGACACCATTTCTTGCATTCCATTTCCCAATTAAGCATTACAGAGGTTGGTACTATTATAAGATGTGGGCCCCAGTTACCTTTCTCACATGCCAAGTGTGCAAGTAAGGCAATCGTTTGTATCGTTTTACCCAAACCCATTTCGTCTGCCAAAATGCCGTTTAGCTTTCTTTCGTACATAGTCACGAGCCAATCCAATCCTATGTGTTGGTATTCCCGGAGAGAGTGTTTCAAAAGGAACGGAATTTTAGTAACAACCTACAATGCAATACATAACGTTAGAATACGTTACAAGGCCATTTCAATGAATATTAATTGTATAAAAATTGTCGTAATAATCTCTCTAAAATAAATCGTCAACTTAATCTATTTTATGAAAGAGAATACTACTTCGCTCTGCCTTTCTGAAATAATCGTGAGCAAATGATTGTCACACAATCTTGGATGAAAGGCTTCCTCAATCTTTGTTTAAGCAGATATTATTTCAAATAGCTTACACTAGTAGTCAGTAAAGTGTTTCCCTTCGGTTGAATACTTTCCGCCAATGCAGCCACATTGTCCATTTCATCGTGAGCGTCCGAATGATCCATTTCTGCAGCCTTTCCGTCTGTAGATTTTTCCATAGAAATATCTTCTAAAAGAGATTTAAGCCCGATATCAGTTTCATTGTCGCTTTGCGTTTGAGACTCCCGTTCACCGACTTCGTTATCGCTTTCTTCACTTTCATTTTCACTGCTGATAGATTCCTCGTCATTTTCCTGCCCCTCCTCTTCCTTTGTGCTTTCTTTATCAGAATCTAAATGAAAAATATTATACATCAGTTTTGCCATAGAGATAGCAGTAAAACTAAATTGAACACATCAAGTATCTCAGACAAATGCCTCAAGTCGCATCAAGAAATAGGAGTCGAAAAATGAAAACCATTCCTCAATCCATCAGGAATGGTAAATTATCATCACAGAATGATTAGCATTATAGAACATAAAATCTAACGTAATGGAATGTTGTTACACACCTTGTCCTAGTTCTTGATCAACATCCATTGGAGCTTCCGATATATTGCCATATTTATTCATAAGTTCATCGATGGACATTTCATTTTCAGCCTGAAAGAATAAAAATTATGTACGGAATACTCATAACTTTTCTTAAAACACTGAAGATAGGTATGTACTTTGAGATCATCCAATTCTTGTTTATAATCCGTATTTTCTTCTAATTTCTCTTGTTCCATTATAGTTTCTTCTTCGTCTGAAGATTCGTCCGATGCCGCAACAAAATCTGTATCGCCATCCGTGGTCTTTTCATCGTTACCCTATTAAGTGTAAAAGTAACTCTAATAAGAGAGTACCGCATGTTTAGATATAATTAAGAGAAATTTTATGAATATACTTCGTCAGCAATTTCTTTCGATGGAGACAAATTTTTCTTTCTATCTTCTAAGTAATCAGGAGGCAAATCTTTCAGAAGGTCTTCCAATGGAATTTCCGATTCTCTCTTTAATAATTCAACCTCTTCTTTGTGATTCGTTACGGATTTCAATTCTTCCTCTGCCTTTGCTATAGTTTCTTCGTCGTCATCTGAACTTTGATTGGGTTGAAAGTCCTCTACATTAAACAATTTTATTTTTATAAGCCGATGTCATCGATAAGCCGTATAAAGCGTCTAATCCTTTTAATTTACCATCAGAATGAGATTTTCCGGGCGGAACTGGAGAAGATATTCGTGAACTATTAATGGACGCCGGAATACTTTGAGGACCGTCTGTTTTATTGAGTCCCTCTGTCAACCATGTTGAATATTTTTCAGTTTGTCCAACGATAAAATTTAAATGTTGATCCAGCGCCTGTTTTCTTTTCTCTTCCAGTCTTGTTTGTTGCTTATACTCCACCAACTTGAAAATGGACAGAACAAGATTCACGTAACTTAATTGTTCTTATAAAAAATCAGTAATTCCAAGACGATAAATGAAGTGTCCTGAGTAAATTCTTTGATTGTATCTACGCAATCAATACAACCATACACAATTACCAGACTTTGCTGTTCCCACAACGAGCACACAGATTCAATTGGAATACACTGATACTGTCGGCTTAATAGTGTGGGGTCAACTGGAAATTAATCTACGAACTTTAAAATCACACACCTTTTCCACATTCGTCCAGAAAGTTTTGATTTCCTTGGCTATAAAACTAGCGATCTTCTTTAATCTGAGTTCTTGCGACTTCTCGGCCTTTTGCGCTTGAATTGCTTTCTCCTGGAAATACTTCTGAACCATGCGCGCGCACTTTTTCGCTGCCGCTTTTTTCCATTTCCGTTCTTGAGCAAAATCAGCAGCCAACCACACCATTTCCTCAAGCAAGTAGTCCCAATGAGCTTTTGTACGAGGTGGTTCTTGCACTTTAGGTAATCTTCTTTCCGACCACAATCCTTCTCGCTGCAACTCGGCAATCCTTTGCATGACGTATGCTTCCTGCGAATGATGTCGACAAATTAGTTAATATAGCATTTGTATGCATTACACAACGCTGTAAGTTCTTTGATACATACCTGTTTTGCTTTTTCTACAATTTGTTCTTGATTATTTGTGATATCACATGTTGAATTAGAGGCTGGTAATTTAACAAGCTTTATAACTGGTGTAGAGGAAGTACTAGTAGGCGCAGTAGACATTTTTGATGCTGTGGTAGTGATCGTTGCAGTAAGAGTAGGAGTAGGAATAGGAGTAGAAACAACAGTTATAGTCGAAGTAGTAGTGGTAGTAGTGGTTGTGACTGTTGTAACCGTTGTAGATAGTTTGTCTGCAACTGGAGCTGCTGATGTTGCTACTACTGTAGTTGTTATGTGTTTCGGGGAACTCGAAACTACCGGTGCACTACCTGTAATGATAGAAAAAATGATTTTATATATACATATACATATATGCTTGTTTAGCATCACCAGCAAGTTTAGATGAAGGTAAGAAATATGTATCGACAGCGCCCTTAGGCCGAAAAGCATGCCGCTAATCGACTTTACATATGCTGTGTGTTTATCTCCCCACATGGAATGAACTGCATCAATATGCATAAACTTGATGCAGCTGTCGTTTGTGGGATTGTACAACGAATATTCTACAACATTAACAAGAATATACTATCATAATGCATAAATTATAAACGTAAAAAGGGATAATATAAACATAAGTTTCATCAATAAACTTCATCAAAGGAATAATTACTGTAAGAATTAATTAAGGGAGTAATTGTAATTAAGGTATGTAAGCTAGGAAATAAAAATATCCTACTATTTCTCATGTCAACATAAGTATAACTTTTTGTAATTTAAGAAGCAACGTGCATAATTACTTGACTGTCAAAAAGTTCATCATATCTTGATAAACTTTTCTTTTACCAGTATAGGTAGTATCTGATGCATTTGTTAAGATAATGATTTTTTGTTGGAACACAATATTTAGATTAATTGTTTGTATTTTTTCAAGCTGTACCACTTCTTCTTTAGTATGCAAAAAGCAACGAACCAAAACATTTTTGTACCATAAATGACTATAAAACTAGTATAAAAGAACTGCGAACAATAATTAATGGATCTAAACATCAAACGATAAGCCTGCTGTAATCACCTATAATGAGCGTGGGTGCTAGAGTAGAAGTAGGTGGAGAGTGAACGGTGACTGGTGAAGATTGAATTGCTGCTCTGAAGGCAAACACCATGCCATGGCGGCCCCCTTGAGGCCTACCTGGTACATGTCCTATTACGCATACAATTATTTGATTGATATAAAATGTGTACTAAATTTTCTATTATTTTCCACATTTTTGTGTATGCATCTACTAAAAACTTTCAAATAAATATTTTCATAACCTACACATAGAGTACAGGAATTTTATAAACATTTTTCTATTAATTCTGAATGTAACGGTGTGCCTCTCACTACTTTGGGAAACATGATGCGAGCTATATATGAAATAGCATTGTTTTATGAACTGGTAATTACTACTAATTCTCCAACAGTAGTCTGGATCCTACTATATCCCTATGAAAATTTTCTACAAAATGATTTTCGCTATTTTTTTATGAAGAAACAAGATACCATTATAGGATTAAATGATCTCATGAATATCATGTGGTTAATTACAAATATATATAAGTAATAATTATACGCTTACCTTGTTGATTAAGTTGAGCTACTGCAGCAGGTAAGGTTGTAGACACTGCAACTGGCGTAACGTTTATACCAGAAATTTTTACGTCAGCACATTGATTCACAGAAACTATTGAAGAGACAGTTGGTGTAACAGTTGGTGGTAATGGAATTTCTGATATTACTGGCAGTGGCACTGTTAAATCTTCATCATCGTCGTCTGGATCTAATCTATTTTGCCGTAAAAAATGCAGATACTGAGGCGATGGTTGTCTCTTCTTCCAAGTTTGAAAATCCATCATATTGCCACCAGCATGTAGAAAGAACAATTCAGATGCGTTTTCAGCATATTTCTCCCTTATTGCACGCATTCTCTTCATCTTATGTTCCATAATTCTTCTTCTATAGCCTACAGCATCATCTATACACATAATAGGCTTCTCAGTAGAATCTGCTAACTTCAACTTTTTCCTTGCTGGCGGGGATTGCATAGAAGCTTGAGATGTTGGAGCAACGAACATGTTGCCGATAGAGGTTCTAACAAGTTTTGGAGACGTTGCTAGAACAACTTTAGGTGAATTCTGTCGAGAGGGAGATGGGAGAGGTGAACCACTTGCACCTGCAACTCCCACAGTACTCGGACGTGGTGGAGTACTGCTAATATTAACAAGTCTTGTAACACCGACTTGTTGAATATTAGAGTTTGTTGTTGCATTGCTTGGTATAACCTGCAATGATATACAAAATTACAATGCACAGTTATAACAAATTATCAGTTTAATGTAAAAATACTAAACTTAATAAATCATACCTGTGTGAGACCAGGAACCTGGGAAGTAATAACAAACTGTTGTCCAGCACCAGTTGTGAGGACATTGAGCCCCTGAGCAGTGGCAAGTACCTGCTGCAAACTAACAGTTTGTTGCGGTGTACTGCCATTGCTACCCCCATTGTTTCCTCCACCCCCATTAAGGGGTGGCAAAATAGATGCAGACTGCTTATCGCTCATTACATATCACACTGTAACATTAAGGAAAAAAATCCCCTATAAATATCATCAAAACTGTATTATAAATATATGAAATAAAATTGTTGGGTATGTAACAATATTGTCTTGAAGTATTGAATAATACATAAAAGTATTCGATTAAAACATTTATTCTGTAATTTAATTACATAAAAAACATTTAAAAAACAATTACATCTATATTTAGAGATTGAAAATAAATACATAACAAATTTAATAAATGAATAACAAAGTAGTATCATGAATATTTAATTATTTATTTTATATTTATCAATTTATAAATGACAATTGCATATTCCACTCGGATAAAGATTAGGTTACAAAACCGAAATGCGTGCACAGCCAGAGGAAAATTAATAAAAAAAAAATAAAGGAATTTCTGACTGACTTCAAGTGGCAAAGCATAAAAAGTAATTTTAAAAATAGCCACGTTTAACAGACACATGACTGTTTCACTGTTAAAACAATAGATGTAAAAATAATAGATAGAAAAAGAAATGAAAACACGAACATGGAATATAACTTCACTAATTATTAACAATGCTTTATTTTTTAATTGTTGAATGTATGTAAACAATTTGTCGTACATTCTCCATCGAAATATACATTTTCAATTGTTGCTCCGTGTAAGGTAATCCGAAAGAGTCAAAACGAGAACGTTAATTGATTTGTGAAAAAAGCGCCGAAATCAAAATTTCTCCGTCGATCCCACCAATGCACCGCATTGGAATTTCTAAGAGGTGCGTGACGCGCCGACGAAAAAATACCGTAGAAAATATTACATCGGTAAAACAAAGAACTTTTCCGCGATCGACTGCGCGGCGAAACGAGCGATGTCATTTAAAATAACCGAAGATCGCAACGAATACACGACGGCCCGATATCAAGCATTCAGGGCGTTTGAGTCCTCTTATTCGGAAAATGTCATTTAATCTCGATGCAATAACAACAACGATCACGTCGTTTCACCGACAAGGCTTTCCGGCAACAAATAACAATGTTCTCGATGTTAGCAAGCGTATTGGCACCGAGGAAAATAGATTTTTCGCAATTGCGTCAGTGGAGCCTCGCGGCGATACAAAGGAAATTTTTCGTCCGCCATGTTGGCGTTGGTCCGATAGGAGGGCGGACTTACCATAATGTAATCACAAAATTCTGCGACGTAGGTGAGCCATCCACGAAAATAATTGTCACACCCGTGATCGACGAGCGTTAAATTGCAATTAGGTACCTCACGTAATGTACAGTGCATGAGCTATATCTAATATTTTACAGAACATTTTCGCTCGACTCGCTCAAGGACGCACACACTTCTAAACATGGCGACGGCTCCCGACAAAATTTCGACCGCGGCCAGACCGTGAGCTGCTTGCTGTGTCCGCGTTTACACAAGCCACGGAGAGATGCCGCTCTGACCGGGCACCAATCTTCTGATTGGCTAAGAGGGACCGGATACTTGGCAACGTGGCACTTCGAAACGTTCCTGATTGGTCGTTGGTAAAAATATTAAAGGGACTGGTTTTCCGACTAACGAATCAAATCAGCAACTATTACTCCTGAATACAGAATTCTTGTACATTTCGTAGAATCCATTGCTACAGAAATTTTTATATATGTACACATACAAAGAACGAACGTATCCAGAAAATGTTACATATTTCTTTGTGATTAAAATTTTGTTCTCCGAAAAGCATTTTTTCCAAATTAGGAAGATGTTCAATTTAATTAGACAGTAAAGAATTATATGTTCAAAGTGTACATCATGCGATGAACTTTCATATGGAGCTTAAAGAATGGAATTTAATATAAGAAATTATTGCGGAGCCTTTACAACGGCCTTAGAGAGCCGTTCATACAATAGACAAATATGGACATACATTACACGCGGTATTACATCACTTTACATTCCTGGCAACGGACGTGGAGCCGTTATCCAAATGTTTCGATTCAATTTATAAAGCAAACAAACTGATACCGTCGAAGCTATGTGTATCTTCCTTAGCCTTCGTGCGTGCTATAAAATGCCACGTGCACCGAAAATCCCATGATACAATTATATACCTTTAATCGGTACTACTTTATTCATTGTCTTTCAAGCAAGTTTATGACACAATATTTGTTATATTCCGAAAGAATTTAGCTGCACAAAAGTTGCAAAACTCGGATAGTTCGAACAACGAATGTGGATCAAACAGATTTCCACACGAAAAATAAATAATTTCTCGAATAATTTAATTTAAAAAGAATATATAATATCTAAGAATTTCGATTGAAATTTAATACCGTACGCAACATGGTGTCCCAGTATACATAGCTATATGTACGTATAGATACGCCACGTGCTGCGACATGCGTTAACATTTGTAGAATGCAGGTAAAGGTAAAGTGAGAAAATGGTTTTACTTACTTTTTAGTTGATCTTTGTTTCCCGATATTCACCGTGTCGATGTCCCTACGTCGTTTTTTAACCGAATTCAAATAAATGACTATATCGATAATGAATATTCACGTAAGATTTTCTCGTGGGACGTGTACCAAACACATTTTTGAACGTGATAACGAACTCCCCATGAATTTTCCGAGGCAAAACCCTGATCGTATCTACGATGGATCGAGAATGAACCATGACGAAAGAAACGAACGCGAATTAACGCATTAGAACTTGCAACACATGTTTTTTCAAATTCAGGCTTGATTCTACTTTGCTTAACGAGGTGACCGCGTGTAATACGTACAATCGTAAGAATGACGCTGGGGTCATTTCGGTACTCGGCGCATCATCTTTTGGGTACCACTGCTATATTTACATTGATCTACGTAGTATGTGCGATAATAATTTCAAAATTTTACTCGAATAATAAAAGATAACTATTTTATCGGTTCTCGCATTTTTTTCTTTATTTTCTTAATAACTCAAATTTTGTATTGGATTGCGTTAAAGCTCGATAGTATTTTCATGACAATTGAATGCGTATTGTAATGTACACAGCCGCTCAAAAGTGTATCAAAAATGGACAATGATTTTTGGTTAATCCATGATTGTATATAGAATATTAACTATTATTATTGATTTTTTAAAAATCATTTATACAATTAAAGACTAAAAATAATGTATGTCATTTTATATCTTAAAATCCGTATAAAATTTCCTAGTAATTTTTTTTACATCTGTATTAATATTAAGTACATGAAAATATGTATATGTATACATGTGACATTTTGTAAAAATAATTATAATAAAAGATACAATTATTTTTTAATCATTGTTTTTACATGATTAAAATAAGAGGAAGTGTGTGCGTACATATTTTTGAGTAACAGTATCTGTATGTAATCACGTGTATTCAAACAAAAGTGTATGTATGTATGGTTTCATTAGTGTTTGTGTTAATATTCCGGAAGTTCGTGTTGTAACCAGTTCCTTGTTTAGTTGAAATCAGCAGTATAAATGTATGTAAACCAAACCAAATACGTATTATGATGACATTTTTTTAATGCAAAGTTTAGGAACATAATTAAAGAAATTGCTTTGTCAAGCATGACAAAGTTAAATTCGGATATAGATCTAAAATTATCGGATACTGTAGTACAACAATTACAACGCAGAAATATTAAAACTGTTCTTGAATTTTTAGAGGAAGATTCGAATAACTTGGCGACGTTCTCTGGTCTTTCGCTCAAGGTATACAATTAAATGTATTACAAATAACAATGAACATATATTTTCAATTTAATATATTAAATTTAGGTTACGTTGACAGGACATAGTTCATATTCAAAAAATTATTTCACTAAAGTATGGAGGTGTGGTAAGAAATGCCAGTGATTTGTTCAAGATAGAATTGAGTAATATAATTCCTACAGATTTACCATGGTAATATAACCGAAGATTTTAATTCTATACAAATACAACTAATAATTAATAATAATTCAAATAATTAGTTTAGATAACTTACTGAAAGGTGGATTATATCCAGGTCAAATGTATGAACTATGTGGTTTACCATCAAGCGGTAAAACACAGTTGTGTTTAACAATTGCAAGTAATATTGCTCTTAGGGCTAATAGTCTTGTACGGTATATCGATACAAAAAGAGATTTCCACGGTTCACGCGTAGAACAAATTTTGTTGAACAAAAACATCTGTAAAAAGGTATTCATATAAGTATGTATGAGAATGTACAATTCCAATTATATTTATCATTGTTAAATCTAGGTTACAGATGAAGTTTTGAACCGTATCAGAGTTTGCAGTGTACAAAAGTTATATGACTTATTTGAGATTTTGCGTTGGCTTACAAGTGCTTTGAAAGTTGAGAAAGAAGAATGTCGTACAAGGATTATAATAATAGATTCTTTGCCAGCAATAATTTTCAGTGTTTCTGATGATAATAAAGTAGCAGTTACACTAAATCATCTAGCAAATATATGTTACTTTATTGCTAATGAATTTCGTTTATCGATCATCACAGTCAATTTGATTACTCAATGGGATTCTGGTAACGAAACGGAATCGGTTTGCATAAATACAAATAATGTAATAGATAGTGATGTAATACCAACGTTGGGAAAGTATTGGGAAGGCATTCCTAATACAAGACTGTTAATAGAAAAGCTAGATCTTGGAAACAGGAAAATTTCGATATGGAAAAGTGTTCAGTTAGAAACGTGTAGATTAAGTATAGACAATAATGGCATAATATGTACTTCATAATGTATAAATTTATATGTTTTGCTCTTTAATTTTTTAATAAAATCTTCGACTGTAAGTTGAATTTTTGTTTCTTAAACCCCTCTTAATGGAGAACTCGATAAGATTATATAAATTAAAAACTAATTGTAAATTGAATACATTTATAAGTGAAATTTAAAATGATGGAAAGATTAATAGAATTTAAGAATATCAATATATTGTCCACAACTTATTAAAATTATTAAAGAAAAGTTTTTATTTGTCTCCGGTTTTTTATAATTGACATAAAATTTTTATTTTTTGTATATGAATACATATTCTGAAGTACATAATAGTGTATGTGTTTGTCAAACTTTAAAAGTATGACGCTGTTGTTCTTAACTTCCGGTGAATGTACGATTTACACCGTTGCCACGTTTCCGTAGTGTGAACGATAGCATAACAGTTTATAATGGTTATATTAGATTAGTGTTAGAGTATAGTGTTAATTAATTGGTAAGAACGATGGCTTCCTTAGTTGCGGATTATGGTACTTCCTCAGGTTCAGAAAGTAGCGATGACGATATTTCAGAAAATGGCGATAACACGTAAGCTTGCATCAACGTAGATTTGTATGCCTCCTTGTTTGTTTTCCTTGTCCATTTAACCTTACTTAATTGCGTTTATTATACTGCTTGAAATTAATTATTATCTTTATCCCATATTATAGTGTACATTTCGCTTTCATTTTTGTCCCACTTATGGTACAAATAGGTCTTTTCACTTTATTAATTTATTTTATTAGAAATGTATGACACTGAACGTAGCTTAATTGTATCTTCTTCAAGCGAGGTTTTGGTTTTGTTTAGTCATATTTTTTAAATTACAATAAATTTTGTTCTGTTATTACAACTGTAGAACATCATTTAATTTATTAGCAGTTAATTGTTTTGTTGTAGTGCATATATTTTGTGATGTATGTTTCTTTTTGGAGTAATATCAGTCATATTAACATTGTACCATGTGATGTGTTCATCGAGTAAAAAAATTTGTAAATAATTCCAAGAATAGCCATTTATTTATCCAAGTAGAATAATTTATATTGATTAACATTGGCTAATAAAAGATCATATTTTCAGTAATGTAAACCATAATATGGGACAAAGATGGTATTATATTCCTAATGCTTTTTTAAAATATATTTAGGAAATACATAATATATTGAGAAGCAGTTGATGCTTACACGTAAGATTGAACTGGTTCTTTGTAATCTGATATTGCCTAACCCTTAGTTTTAAGGAGGAAGAACAAGAAGAAGATGATGAAGAAAATTGTGAGAATAACGAGGAAATGACAAACAACACAGCTTCCAAAGAAAAACTTCCATTGCCGACACCTGATTTTAATGGCACACCCACCATGAAAACTTCAGTCTTCTCAAATCCGTTTGTGGAAGCAGAGAAAGCAAAAAGTGCAATCCTTGAGAAACATGTAAAAATGACACCAACTTTGGATGACACAAAAATGATAAATGGTAGAAAGATTTGTTGGAATTATAGAAAAGGTAGATGCCGCTTTGGTCATAATTGTACCTTTGCACACGATTCTGACTTACATCGAACAGCAGCTGAGTTAGAAGCTATTCGAGCACCGCAGGAAACAATTATTTGTCAGACTCAATACAATGGACAGGTTTCCATAAATGACGATGACGAGATAGATCAAGAGAACAATCAAATGAATAAGCGTAAGAAAAGGCCAGGTTTAAGTCAGTCCTTGATACCTAGTAAGAAAGTCTTAAAAATGTACAAAGCGCAACAAGCTAAAGCCGTTAGTAGATAAATTATACTAAGTATTCAAATTACACTAGCATATTACATTGAAAGAGAATATTTCATAGTTTTCATGCTTTCGATTTCGCGTGGGTAATCGCTAACGAAATGTTCTGAAAACTGTATGTGAACAAATGATCGCAGTATAAAAGGATTTTTATCTTTTTATGTATTAAGAGAAACGAAAAGAAGTAGATACTTCCAATAAAAGTTGCATAAGGAATATGTCGCGAATCGCCGCTACTTCGACATCAATGAAATGCATATAAATTATTTAAATACTTGATAATTATAGGAAATTGTTTGTTATGTATATAAAAGTACATTTTACTTGTATAGTTAATACTTCCAGGGACCTGCATAAATATATTTCTATTCATATTTGACATCCCTAACTTGCCCATAAACAATGAAATATGTCTTCTAATTATTTGCTTTTTTATTATACAATTCAATTGTGATTCTTCCTCGAGAAGGCAGTTGCAGAAAAGTTCTTTTATATAAGGACTCAGAAACGTTCACACATAGGTGTATTGTTCTGTTGAAATATTTTACAAAATTCCATTAGAGCTTTAAGAAGTTTTAGATGATGTTTAATGTACAGTGCAAACGAATCAACACTTCATGTGCTATATGTATGAAAAGAATTATATGAATTATGTACAATATTGTTAACATTTTCTTCTGATAAAAGATGGTTAATACAGTATCTATATTAGGTACTAACAGTAATTTAATATAACCGAGGTATACCAAAAATAACAATTACGCTTCCACTATTCGTTATATCTTTCTACATAATGTTATAAAATATAAATCAGGGCTTCTATGATTCTATACCAATGTGCATATACGATTGTTAATCTCATATTTCCAGTTTTGAAATATCGTATATCGTTCTTTACGTGCACTCCAACTACTTAAATATTTTTAATGAAAAAAAAAGCTTTACTTAATATGGTAAAACACAGGAGTTTAGACTCATTGGAGTTACAAAGAAAAGGAATATAAATTCGCTGATAAGTTTGATACAATTCAAAAGAGCGTTTACGGATTCAAAAACATTTATATGTAGCTGTAAGTTTTCTTTTTTATTTTATACAATTGTAAGATTACGAAGGAAAGTTATTCGAAAAATGGCAATAAATCTACAGTGACCAACAAATTATCGAATTCTATCCTTCTCCTAGTTGTGTACCACGTGAAAAGTAAGCAGCCTTAATTGGAAAAAGAATACATACGGCAAAACATCATGGAAGTTTCTTTTAATTAGACTAGAGTGTAGTATGGGTATAAAAATAGACGAAAATGTGATAGGCACATGACATTTTATTAGATAATCATGGGTACATATGAGTTCGGATCAATTATATGTGGTATAAGTGCATCAATAACTGATTATTGCATCTCTCATTGAAAATATATAAGTTCTATATCATTCTTCTCATCTTCGCGACTGAACATTTCACAGGCACTTTGTCTCTAAACAATGGCAAAATTTGTGATAAATGTGTTTATGTAAAATAAGCATACACATATACAATAATCATCACAGTTGAATCAAACTTTAATTAGTAAATAAAATTAAGTGTTCACTAATTTTCATTAAGTCAAAGATATTTTCTTTGTGGAACACTTCAAAATCAACAGTTAATATTGCTTGCACCAAAAAATTATTCCCATCGAATTGTTGTCTAAGATGAACTTAACGAATTCTTAATGGAAATATACCTGTTAAGTACTAGTACCTTTTACAATTACCTTGCCATGACTATAATACATACTTCTGACAATACTGCAGAACAGTACAATCGTTGAACCATACTTTTGTAAGTTACCTTGCCATGACGCGTCAAAAGAAAAAAAAGTAAAATACTAAATTGAGTTTGCGGCTTATGCTAAGACAGAATTTTCTTGAGAGAAATAGACAGTCCCCTTTCGCGGGAAGGAAAGTCTCTTCAATAGTCTAAGGTATAATTTACGAAAATGAACCGTCGAAGTACATTTACGTTAGTGCAATAACATTAAATTTTCTATCGAGACGTTAAACGTTTCTAAGGAAAAGTATACTTCACACTGATCGTATGTTCTCGGATACTTACATACCTCAAATACGTTGTTTGTATGCTACGTACTACGTGTATCTTGTATCACAATTATTTGTAAGTAAATTTCCTTAAATAGAAACCAAAATAATTAACAAAATACTATAGCTAGACGAAAATATCGGTTCCCGTCGCTAATAGTCCTAATCGGAACAAAAATACATACATAAGTAAAGAGATGGAGAGCGAAGTGAGGTGATTTAGATGTAAAAATACTTGGTATATTAATCGACATCGCTTTTTTCAAAACAGATTCGGTAAAAAATAGGCGTAAGTTACAATTGAAGTATATTAAGTACGTTTTTTTTTTCCTCGTGTAATATAGTACTTGAATAGGAGACACCGCGTGGTCTCAAGTTAGAAAACAGGCGTGGTTTATGGTCAAGAGAAATGTGTCACTTTCGTATTGCACAGGAAATTTTGTCACTTGAAAAGTTAACTGTGTCAGTGCCAATAGAATACTTTTATTTATTTTCCTCGGAATTATTTCAATGAAATTCCCTCATCTCTCGTTGCTCTACTTTTACCATCATTTTTGTTTGTTCGCGTCTTATCCTCTGATCCATTCTCATCGATACTCTCTTTCTGCGTTTTCCTTACAAGCTATCTTTGCCTCTATTTACCAGTACTATTACGGCCAACACGTGTCTGATCTTCTTGACTATTGCTTAGTATGCTATTCCTTCGGACAAACTTCGCATTTCCGTTCGCAGTACCGTGGACACCATTTTGCACGCCATTAACAACTTTATCAATACCATGCACACCGACCTCTTCACCATTGACTCTAGTATCAAACCCGTTCACTCGTTGTTTAGCTGATGCGCTATCTTTCATTTCCGGCAAACTGAGATTTTTAAATTCCGTTGATCCAGATTCCGTCGAGCCTGCAAGAGCGTAATCTGTGCAATTTAAAAGACTGATCAAACGAAAGATCGCCTACGCTTAATAACACGATATACTGCTATACAAGCTGAGTTAGCTAACGCGACGATTTCAAATTACTTGCAACACAGACAATAATGTACAAGTAATTCTAAGTCTGCGCATTGGATGACTAACCTTGTATAATGGATAACGTATGTACACCACTATCATAGCTTGCTCTTCGAAAGAAGTTTATCTTTATCGATGTATCTATCAAGTTTCTTCTTTCAAAAAGCAAACCTAGAGACAATGGCAATAGCAAGAAACATGGGCGTGTACGTACTGTGTAAATTGTGGCAGTATTTATTGGTGCTGTTCCACTCTTCTCTGAGGCTGAGGTTGAACATACTATAATCCGAATTCCCAGTGACTTCTTTCTCAATGGTCAGGAACTGTGGTAAAATGTTTTTCAACTCGGTTCCCGATAGCGCAGTGTACGTTTCAAGCAACATTAAACCTCGACACCTGAAAGCCTTTGTTTCTGTACATCCTGCACCACCAGGGTCAAACGATATCAGTTTCATCCCTGACTCTTACCTTGGATGAGCTGGTTCTCTGTATATATCTAACTGGAAATACTGATTGTTTATTAGGAAGCAGCGGCGGCGTTTGAAGATTGTGAAATGCGAATCGTCGCGTTGGGCAAGCATGTTCAGATAGTCTCTGTGAGTCAACTGTGTCTTCACCTCGATTACTTGGCCGCACATCTTTGGACGCCTGATGGTGTGGATGTAGGACCAGTGACCTACGATAAGAAGACAACGATGAGGATCCCGTAGGCCACGCTGCTCTTCCGTCTGTTCTCCACAGACCTTTTTGGCCGCGCTTGCGGAGACGGGCTTGCATCTTCGGATTATTGCTTTGGAGGTAGTTGTGAACGACGTCGAAGTCCTGGAACGGCGGGAACTCTGTGTCCACCGGTAAAGGACCCGTGACGAGGAACTTGACCTTTCTACTGCTGGCGCGTAACCTGTCCCCGGTGTCGATGCCCAGCTTCTGGCAGACGCACTCGATCATCCTACAGATCTTCGACTCGAAGTCCTGCGAGTTGTCGATCACGTCGAAGTAAGGATGGCCTACCCAGGCCGCGGCTGCTTTGTAATCGAGCTCCCTGGCCACCTCGACGCCCTCCGACCTGCAGGCGTGATCCTCCGTCGAGTAAAAGTCTTCGGCGCCGTTCGCCGCCGAGACCATGTGGATGATCTGATTGTACCGGTTGTCCCGTAGCTCGACGTTGTTCCAGCCGTTCGAGGCCATCATCAGCTCCCACTTGTCCTTCGATATAACTGAAAATAGAGCAGAGTAGAGAATACCGGCAAGGAGACGAACGCTTCCTGCATATTATCAACCGATAATCCGCTTACATGCCGAGGCGTCCATGGCACCGCGATCGCAGATGATAAGGCAATTTCGGGAACAGCTCTCGCCCAGCTGGAAGAACGTGTTCTCAATCTGGATCATCGTCCGCAGCAGATTCTCTTGGAACTTGAATGCTGAAGCAGAACAAACGGTAGGTGTCGCAGCGTCTTGTAGACCGCAGGCCAATTCTACGTTCGAACTACTACGCTCTCTACGCTATTTTACGCGTTCCTTAACATTACACGTTCGATCTACGTCATTTTCGAGTGACTTAATTAGGCTCGTTAGCATACGCTACGCGTCTCACTAACAAAGCATACCGTCATCAACGTAATAAACTTGGAGGCTGAACAACGTCTACTTTCCTTATCGTTGTTATCGTGTATCAACGATCGTCTCGCGTCCGAAACGAAATTGCCGGATCAACGAACGTCGATCGAAAACGAGTCAATGAGTCACGTTTTATCCTCCTGCTTCGGGTCGCCCGAGTTACGATCTCGGATCGTTATCGCGAGTCCAGACGCAGCCAGTGCAACCACCGTGCAATTTCCGTTATGGGAATTACGATCCCGCCGAATCATGTTCTAATCGGATTCTACACCGAACCGATCGTCGAAGAATCATCGAATCATGGTTGCGATACAACGGCAAACGAAACGATGAAACTTCATCGACGAATCTTTCGCAAAACGACTTTGAAGAATCCTCCGGAGAGATCCGGATCGTTCGACTCTGATCCTGATTGCGTTACATTGCGGTCTACGCGAATTGCCACGCGAAATAGCATCGGTTACAGGTGTTTACAGAACAATCACGAGGCTCTCGAACACGAGCAGGATGTTGCTATCGAGAGTCTGTCTCGTTGCGATCCCGGCATCATTCGGCGTTATCCGTCCGCGCGGGAGATACGCACGATGCAACGGGAACACCAACGAAACCGCGCTACGCCACTGTTGTTGCAGTACCATTCTCGCTTTATCGAATCAAGGAAAAAATCCAATTAATGGCGGCGGTCAGCGAAGTCCAATAATCGTCCGCACGACCTGTCGTCTCGCCTCTGCACCCCCGGATATTTCCCTGTCGCGATCCTCCCGCTCGTTCGCCGGATCGATCATTTCCACGTCGTCTTGCCACGGATTTCACGGATCAACGAGACCGCCGACCGATCCAAATACCACGTGCTCGATGAGCACGTCTAGCCGGGCAATTTCCCTTTATGCCTGCGCTCACACTCGACGATTTCGAATCGACCGTCGGATCGGAAGTGGCGGCCGATCTTTCTGTTGTAAGGGCGCGAGAAATCGAGCATTGCATAGCGAAGTCATCTAAGTCGGGACGCTATAGTTCCGGTTCCTCTGTTAATTAGCTCACGGACGAATTTGTTAGCATCTCTAGAATTTGTAGCATCTGGCTAGCTTCGCACACAGTGTACCACGATTTACTAGTTACTGCTAAAAGACTGATACAGTAATGTCTCCCTAATTGACGCTCGGATTCTACACAAAAATAGACAATTTGGGAAGAGGAGATACGATTATTCGAGCCCTGCAGCTCGTTTTAATAGTTGTTGACAATTCGTGACTATAAAAGTGAACCGCAATGATCGAACAATCGTATCTCCTCTTCCTAAATTGTCCATTTTTGTGGACAATCTGAGTGTCAATTAGAGAGACATTACTGTATAGCTGAATCGAGGGAAATCAAGGAGGCGAGCCTTAACCTTTTAGGTACGGCTACATTCTGCGCGAGGCTATTTCTCTGGACGGCAGAGTCTGATACTGTATATTCTGTCTGTATATACAGGGTGTCCCAAAAATGTCTCGCAATCCAAAAGTGGCGGGTTCCTCAGGCCATTTGAAGCAACTTTTTCCTCTACAAAAATTTTCTCCGAGGCACCGTTAACGAGTTATTAACGAAAAACAGTGACCAATGAGAGGCGAGTTCAGCTGGCGCGAGGCGACCGAGCCAATGAGCGGAACTGGGCTTCGTGCGCTGGTTGGCTGGGCCGCCTCGCGTCAGCCGTACTCGATTCTTATTGGTCACTGTTTTTCGTTAATAACTCGTTAATGGTGGCTCGGAGAAAATTTTTGTAAAGGAAGAAGTTGCTTCAAATGATCCGAGGAACCCCGTTAATGGTGGCTCGGAGAAAATTTTTGTAAAGGAAGAAGTTGCTTCAAATGATCCGAGGAACCCGCCATTTCCGGATTGCGAGACATTTTTGGGTCACCCTGTAGACTGTTGTAAATCGATGCGAAGACAAAAGAAGTGTGAAACAATGCATATGAAGACGATTATTTGATTC